TTGGTGTCGCAACAACCTGAGCGTGGTTACAAAAAATATGCCTCATCAAAGCAATGGAGTGAGTTTAGGAATGATTAGATGTATACCCCAGCTAACCTATACCGTCTTTGATCCAATTGTCCTTTCCTATTCCACAACCAAATGGCAGTTGCGCTACCTCTTTTATACCTATTCTTTATTACCATAACAAGCTAATGTTTATTAGTATAAATTTTTCCGCTTTATTTGGAGCATGTTTCAAGCAAATGTCCATACATGGTATTTCTGGTCATTTTCATCAATATAGCCCAATGAATTCCTATAGCAATCAGTACATCGACGGAGAGGGAGTTGATAAATGGTTAAATTTAGACAAAGATATACCCTATCTATGTACGTTGGTATTGAGTATTATTTTCCTTGAAAACCCGTCTGTCGCTGATACTAGTCAGTGTTTGAACCCAATGCGGAACGCGCATCCCTTTGGGACATTGCAGTAGGATTTTGGCAAGATAATCCGGATTACACTAACACTTTTAACGTTCAAATGAAAGAACGTGAAATGCAATGCAGCTTTATTGGTTTTTCGCTCTTGGCTCCGCATTCTCTTTGCTCGCTGATGTAGCATACATGGTGAATGCCATTTAACAGCATTGCTTACAATTTTGGAAACTAGGTTGCTTTTCCTCATCAGAATGGAAACATGCGGTGCCACACCGTTTGCTTAATATGATGTGCTGGAGTTGGTTAAATTTGTTTTAGATCAGCCAACTGGTTTGGTTTCCGAAATTCTTCAAGATAAGCGTGATCGCCTCATTGAGAACCTAAAACAGAAGGTAGGATCAATTGTTCCCGTTTCTAACCATTGCAGTTATTCTTTTCAAACCTAATGGTTACGCTGTTTAGACGTGAATATTTCATACCTCAGGCTACTTGTTGGTCGTCATAGGGTAGCGAAAAATCCGCTTTTAGAGGCTTTTTGGGTCCAGCATCGGGCTTGCAATTGTTGTGTTTGGGTGGTTTTTATTTGAGTAGGCCAAGTTGGGAAGTTCCACTTGCACTGCGCACCGTACTTATCACGTGTACGTGGGGTAGCTGCTTGCTGAAAGCCTTGTCGTACTAGAACTGACGACCTTCTTCAGCACCTGCCATGTTGATGCCTTTTTTGGTACATCTTCAGTTCATTTGAGCTTTAAGTGCTTTCTCAAATCGGAAGAATTGCTGGCGCCTGCATAACATTAATTTCAGTCGGCGAGTATGCCAGCCTGTTATGAATAAGTACCGGTTGTTGTTTTATTCAAAAGTCAGGGTTAACCCACACCTGTGGCTGTGTAAGGTAATACCTCTTCCACTCTATTTCCGCTTGAGAGGCTTGCCTCGGGTGACCTCTAGCCGAACGGGTATTTAGTCTATGCTTGGTCGAAAATTTTAGTCTGAGAATGGCGGTACAAGTGATGCGGAACACCTGTAATAACTACCCTATGTTGTTTTTAAGAATCAAAAGATCTTCCATTCCATTGCGGCGTTAGTGTACAACATTTTGCCTCTTATTTGTTTTTGGCTCTTGATTCAACTTGCACTTGTTGGAAAGTTTCGATTCCCCCATTCACTCAAACTACATTTTCTTTTCATTAGGTGAAAATTTTGGCTGAAGAATCGGTTACCCGAAGTTTTATCAACGAGCAGAGTGGCAACATCACTGCATTTTGTTGTAAGCAAGGAATTGTTTTACATCACTATTGACTGCTATACTTGTGTTACTTTTTGTGTTTTTCGAACTCCTACTGCAGAAAATCTTTTGGGGACAACTTTTAAGGTTTTAATACTGTTCTCGTAACCTCCTTTATTATATTCAGTACAAAATTTCAAATCATGAATAGACTTTTCCTATTTTAATCTTTTGGCTTGGTGTGGTGGGATGTGTGTGGAAAAGTACCAAGCCAGGCTTATTAAAAAAGGTTTGGTGGGCGTTATCATATCGGTTCTACATCGACGTACAAAAATAATGTTAGTGACGCCGAACTAATGTGGAACTCGTATCGACCTGTGACCAAGAACACGTTCATGTCTGCTAAACTTTTGTAAGTGCCACGATGAGAAAGCACAGGTATTAGATGGTGCGGGTTTTTCTGAGGCAACATCGTCGTCATCTTTACTCTTCGTTGCCTTTAACAGCGGCCGTGGATGATTGTCTGCGCTTTGGCCTGATTCAACGTAAACCAGTTTTGTTTACTCGCGAACCACCTTCGTATGGTCTTCTAAAAGAGGTAGCAAAGTTTCTACCGGAGGCAAAAGAAGTTTTAAAACGCGTTCAAGAGCTAGATGAAGTAGAAAGTGGTGTTGGTGGATATGGGAACGCATTCAGCTCCTCTTCGACCAATCATCTCGACTTTGCCAGGTAAACCTTTGCATATTTGATCGTCTGCTTCAAGCGCAGCTTTCGCTTTAACTATGAACAAGTTAGTTGGTAACCGCCCGCCAAATGCAGTGTCACTGTTATTATGATCGCAGTAATCGCTCAACAACTGACACTTGCTGTCAGTTCATTGGAAAATTCTTCGGTGTCATTTTAGGCTTCTAACAACACTTTAACCTACTTAGGGGAAGTGGATCTTGTTGTGGCGTAGTTGTAAACTAATTTCCGAATCCAGAGGCAGGTTAGGTAGAAACTGACAATTATGTGCATTCCAATGCAGAGATCTAAGTGACAGCTGCAAACTGCTGAGTGAATCGTAATCGTCGGTGGATTTGCCAGCCCCTCGGATCGTCGTGCATGCTTCACGGATCGAATAAATAGGCTAGTTAGGGGAGATTCTTTTGTTTTTTTTCGGCAGTTTCTGTTAATCTAATGCCACCTCCAATCATTCCCCTAGATTTTCGATGAAACCGACAATCAGGAAAGTAGAGTGTAAGGTGCCTTTCTTTGGGCCACACTTTGATCCACTAAAGTATATGCCAGTCAGTTTCTGTTCCTCCCTTCACCTTTGTTGAGAATCATGGTAGGATGAATGAATGGATTCTCTATTAACTGTGATTTCTTTTAGCTATCTTAGTACCCTGTCTTAATGAGCACCACTACAATTGCTACTTTTATGTTTTCTTCGCTACTAATAAATTACAGCTGTGTTAGTTAGAAACAGGTCATCATCTGCACCCTTATTCTAGTATCTTTCAATTTCTCTGTGTTTAGACGAGGTTCGCTGCGTGGTTCGGGAGGCATCCATCGGTGTACATGGATTCGCGTTGCTCTCTTCCAAAAGACCCTGGGAAAAATAGCGGATTACTTAGTGCACAACGCCTTGTGAGTTGCCTGAGCTCAGTTCCGTTGTTGAGTATTTTCGACAGACATTAGGAACTAATTGAACTAGGGGACGGGAGTTATGTTTTGAAGATAAGACAACGGGGTGAAAACGGTATAAAGCACTTAGCTAAACCACAATCGAGCGGCTTTTTTACTTGAAACAGTATGTCAGCATTTACGGCCAATTTTGCCGATCCCCATAAAGGCTTATATTAATCTTTATATGGTGTCATCAAAATGAAACTGCAAAACCTGAGTGGTTTTCTTTTTACATTTATTTTTTGCACCGTGTGCTCTAACCATCATTCGAATACTTGGACGTCTCAAGCATTCCGGTTTTGCTAAGAAGGGCAGTGTGTTTTCTGAATTCCTGAAAGTTTCGTCTAAGTAGTAAATGTTAGTTTTATCGCAGAACAATTGCCCATCGTCATCGCATTGGTCCGAGACTGAATACCAAGTGTTGGGGTTCCACAGGTATGAAATCCGACTGAATGCCTCCCATGATTCGCCGTGAGATTTGACTGTTTAAAGGCTTTGGAGTATTCTCTCTTGCCTCGAGTTTTTCGTTCATGAAGAGTAATTTAATTTCGCACACCGAGTTTTGATATCGTAAGTTAATCGGGCTAATCCTCAAACAAATGTATTTCTGTTGCCTCTAAATGCAACCAATGTTCATTTACGTTATAACTTCCTAATTTGGAGGTAAGCGTGGCCTGTTTAACGAACAAGGGCCCCATCCGACTTGGCACGTAATATTGGCGGGAAAAACGCTGGTGCCTTTTCATGCGCCGATTATTAAGCCATAAATGGTAGCAATTTCGGCGAAGAAATCGTCATAACACAAGTTACCTGTGTGTAATTTTAGAACTTATTACGAACGCGTTTCAATCCTCGCGCACCCCTTCGACGGTCAACTCTTCGCCGACTTGCTTCGTGAGTGTGGGCCGTCTCCTTATGTAGACTCCAGTTGTACTGGTTTCATCTTACTCGTAAAATATGCAACATTTTTTTAAAAAAAAAATGTGCCTTTTTCCGATCTCGCCTGTGAGCATGCCTTCCTGCACTTTTCAATCCAAGCGAACCTGATTGGTTGTTTTTGCGGTGGCCTTTAAGCTCAATCGTCTTGAAGAAATTTTACCAGTGCTGCGCGTATGAAGCGAGTTAAGCAGACGGGACTTGGATAAACAGGCTACTGGCTTGTAATTGATCCCAATAATTTTCTCCTGTGCATTGTTGTGAGTAAAATCGCAAATTGCAACAAAAGCCTAATGTTCAGTGACAATGACTTAAAATGATACAATATCTTGAGCAAAAATCGGTTATTCAAATCAGAAAATTTAAGTATAATGCTTACAATTATCTAGATTAAAGATGCATGCCTCGTAGATCGCAAACTTATAAGGTTGAACAATGTATGCGTTAACTGGTTCCTGATAAAAAAAATGTTAGAAATACGATATGTGCATACTCTTGATTTTATGTCTGCATTTGGATAGATGAATATTGAGTTTCATTATCAACTTATGTATTAGGCTGTGTTCCGTACAATCTGACATTTGAGGGCGAATGTATAGAGATTTGTGAAGGGCAAATTTGTCTGCTTATGCCTTCATATTTGCCAAAGACCATTGAAATCTGCCTTCAATATAAATTTCTTGACTGTTCATGGGTTGTTAATTTAATAGGTGGCCCGTGCACTCATGAATACACTCACATTCGTACAAGCGACCACCTTTGGACTGACCCTTCGGCGGGCGAGTTGATGCAGCGGAAGATGATCTATTGCGCTGGCGTCCACAATGAGCACCCCGTTCACACCGACTTTCAGATTAATAAATTCGAGAGTGTGGGAACGCCTCATCAGAGCAAAAAAAGACTACGTCCGCGTCTCTCACTTGACTCGGGCATCGGTGTTCCATCATCTATCACCTCAAGCCATCAGCAGTCCACTGGCGGAGGAGGCGGCGGCGGCTTCTTCCTACACACTGGCACTGATCCGATCTCTCCCGCGTCCCTGCTTTACCAAGTGTACTCTCCTTCTACAAGCGACTCGGGGGTTGGTTTTCATTTTCACACATTTAACTGAATCCAACTCGTATTAAGTGTTTGGTGGGGTCTTTAGACACTGGAGCCATCATGTCTAATCCGTTTTGATTTCCGTGTAGACTGAGAAGTAAAGGTATCTGATAAATAATAATGATATCAGTGGATCTCCCGATTCATTGCGCAATCAAAGGCGAAGGTTTTAACTGCCTGGCACGAGTGGCCTTGCAGAAGCTGACGTGGTTTGTGTCAATGACTTGATTGAGGGAACCAAGTATCAATAAAGTGCCTGTAGCTGTGGGTGCCCCGATTAAACTAAAATCGGCCTCCGCCCACCACAACTTCGAAAAGGTTTTGTCGTGCCTTACTAGTGCTGCTGTCGACCAGAATTTAGGTTCAAGCATAGTTGAAATAGCGCAATATAAGCGTGGTCGCAATCCTAAGGTGAAAACCATTCAATGAAGAAAAAAGAGTAACTAGCAGGTGTTTCAATACTAAGCCATAGTATTCGGATGGATTTGCGCCTTCGATTCGAGCCTTACATCTGCTTATATTACAACATTGGAGTTTCCATTAGTGTTATTCTCACGCGTTTTGAAGTCGTTAGTGCTGGTACTGTGTTGGTCTCTGTGTCCAATTATTTTGCTTTGAGTGCGCTGTTCGGTCAGCCATGTAGCTTTAGAGCTCTGGTTTCCGGAAGTGACTGTCTTGTCACTCTCCGTGTTAAATTGTTTCACTGACGTATTGAAATCGCATTGTATGTTAAATGTTATCATGAGCATAAAATTTGAAAGTTCATTTGGATTCTTAAGTAACGGTTTTAGATAGTTGTACATAAATCAAGAATGAAAGAGCTTATGCTAGTCCCTGCTTTCTGATTATTCTGCAATAACACTTTTGACGCATTGTACGAGTATACATCGGACCTGTTCAATTTTTAAAAAATAAAGTCTTTTCCTCATCTTCGAAAACTAATTACTGCCTGAAATGGCCTGCTGGAGTGGAGCAAAGTGCATTTGTTGCGTCAAAATTCGTGCAATAGACATGCCTGCGTCTACCTCATGTTTAAGCACAACCAGGTCAAAATATTACGACACGGCTAAGGTCAACACAAAAGAACATCCATGTAGAATAGTGATGTCACAGTTATTTCTCTAACTCCCAGTTGAAATAGTTGCATAGGACGGTACTTTTGACTCCCGGACAGACTTTGTACGTGAGCGAGGCTCGTTATAACGTCGGATGCGTTATACATGTCTGTCAATGCGTTCTTAATGTGTGCATCATGTTTAAAGTTTCCCAGGATCGTTGTGTTGATGTCTATGTAATTCAGGTCCTCGATTTTGTGTCTAACTGCAAGAGAATTTGGTGAGTTTCCTGGGCATCTAACACGCACCCAGTTCTCTGGTATTCGGTAAGATGGTCAAACTAAGCCAATATTAGAAGAGCTGGCTTCACCAGGGAACACCTTTTGGATCCATAAATTGATAAGTCTTATAAGTAACCCAGTGGAAGGTCACCCCTAACAAGGTGGCTGTATTTAGGACAAATCGATGGCATTAGTCTTGACACTTTCGACAGTATGTTAGAAAACATATCTGACACCTTCTTTGGCGTCGTCTTAGTGCATTATGCCTGAGGCTGCAGTTGCGCAAAATCGGAAAGGACACTTTTCCTTTTGTCAGTAGTTGGTTTCATACCTCGCCTCAGTGAGAAACCAGAACACCCGAGTGCCTCACACAGTGACACGCGTGAAGCGTGCCACCACATTCCGAGTTCATTCTACGGGAGTCCTTTTGGTGAAACTAAGCCAATGCCAACTGTACAAAATAACCCTGTTTTGAAAAGTTGTTTTGGCATGGCACATGATACTCCCATAGCCCTCGATTTTTAAGCACTTTCAAAGGTGTTCTGAGCTGCCCCGACATAAAAAACGCAGTCACTTTACCGTTACATACAAAGGAATTATAAATTTTGAACAGATTGGTGAACAAAAAAATATAATTGTGATGAGTGCCATTAGTAGCCTTTTAAATGGCAAGCTGTTGGGAAAGAGATTTAGATTTTGTGTGATCTAGAATCGATTTTTATTCACTGGGTGCGCTTTAATCAAGTAAATGTTTTTTTGATTTGTTCAGTGTCCTTTTCCTATCTCTAAAAAAAAATACGAAAAGCATGCCCTTATCAGCAACAAACTAAGTCACGCATGACTTCAGGTCGTCATCACTGATGATGTTTTTTTATACCATTCAAACAGTTTTGCAAACTGAGAAAGTAGGGTTTAACTGATGGTGTAAGGTGGTGGGTGATTTACCACGTCTACTTTGCGACTTTCCAACTCCGGTCCAATTTTCCCTAGTTGCTTCCTCTACTTCCACTATTTCGTTGACCGTCAACGCCTTAATTTATCACTTGCTTCATTGGTAACAACTGAAAGTGTAAAACACCTTTGTAGTTTCACTGAAGTGGCACTGTGGTCCTCGTTTGACGCAAACCAGCTCTCCGTGTGATTTGTGTGGATTTATCCTGCTTGGAAATGGTTGTTTTTGGATGACGTCATTGTGGTCGACCCACTTTCCTTATCTAGTGACGAATCGCCTAAAAACTGACCATTACAATAAGTTTGATTTGGGTGGATTTCTTTCAGTTCATGCAGAACCCAAGTGTCAGGTATCTTAACGAGTCCATGTCGCTTTAAGGGATTCTTATACGTCGCGCGTGTAATTCATTTAGCCTTTCTGAAATCACCCGCACAGCTGTTTGTCGGAGGCTGTGATCTGGTCGTTGTCAATTTCACTAGGTCTGCCAGAACATTAATCCACTTTGAGTTGAAATTCCCCAGTCTGAGTTAAGCCACTTTGACATCACATACTTCGCATGTCGAAACATTTTCCTATTTTGAATTCCGTGTTAAATTTATGTCTTACTTAAAGGCTGAAAACAAAGTTATTCTAAATTTACTTCTGACGTTAGGTAAAAGGTCCAGTTATTGATTTGACAAAGCAAAGAATCATATCACTGATAGAAGCCCTTCATAACAGTACTATTGTTTTGCAAACCGATTTGCTTTTCAATTGTTTTGTCACTTATTTGTAGTCCCATGCGAGCAGTAGAACTCCATTACAGCACAGCAGTAATTGAAGCTGTTGTCCCGCTTCTCCTGATGCGTTCTTCTGACGAGTTTGCTTTGATTAGTAACTTGAAATAGTTTACTTCCAGTTGCCATTTACCCGAGGTTGTTTATAAGACTGTGAAGTCCTTGCTCGGTTAGTCGTCGGAAAACAAGATTACCATCGTATTTGAAATCTAATACTTTACTGTCTGACATTTTTCCGCAAATTTGGATGAAATGCAGACGCCGTCAAGCACATTTGGCTTGTTCCTGATGGCCTGCAGTTATTGTGTTATGGAAATGAATCCTGAAAGCCACCATCTATTTATCGGGGTTGTGTCAAGAAACCTAGAACTACCATCGATTTGATTGATTAAGCATTAATTGGATGTGCTCGCAACTTTCTAAATTAGCTTCATTGGGACTCTTAAAGTTTTGCTGTGTGTTCCGCAAGCTTAAAAATGCCGTCTTTCTTCTGCTCAAAGGGTTCGTAACTAGTAAGCCTCTTTCTTTAAAGGCTTTGTCTTCCCGACTTGGTGGCCTTCAACTACGATTGGAACAGTCACCAAAATCGGCCCTATAACGAGGCGACTTTGAAAGAAGGCATATTCTTTACAATGATTTCCCTCGACTGAGTAGCAGCTGGAACTGCAAGAAAACAATTTAAAGTATCGGTCCCCTACTAAGTCTCTTTTTAAAAATAGAGGCTCGGCTCTGTATCGCACAAAAGACTCATCTACCAAAATCAGACAATCTATCTGACATTTGAGCGTGGTTCCCCAAAGAGCCATGGTGTGTACTATTCGGTATCTTTAACACGTCAGCTGTTTTCCAGCGCGTTTTGTTTTGGCGTTTGGTCCATCCACCTGATTCGAAACGGGCTCTACTCGGTTTTTTAGGACGTGCTGTGAAGACCCCGGAAACGTCAAAAAGCAATCCTTTGTACCGTACTTGCGTCCGATTTTTCGGGTTCATTCAAATACTTAGTATTTTTTTCTACTTGCATCTTTACAACTAGCAGCAGTTTCTCACAGACCCTCACACACACATTGAAATTGTTGCTCTCAAATATGTGCTCTCGATTGTTTTAAGTAATCTCAAAATGTATACAGTTATTTCACGTAGCAAATTTTGTGAATGGTTTTTTGACAACACGTTTCTAATTTAGTCCGTAACGCCAAAAAAGCCACGCTACTTGTTCATTTTACTTTCGAGTGTTGTAGTTTGTTGGAGGTAATTTTTGAGCAGTTGTGCTTCTTTTGCAGGGAAGTTGGACAAATGAGGCTGCTGGCACTGAGAGGTGTGCTGAAGAAAAGTTTTCCTTCGATGGCTCCTCCATCGACGAGGAGCCACAGTACCCTGACAACCATGATCATCATCATTCGCATGCCAGTTTTTGCTCTGAAGTTTTGGTTCAAAAGCTCACTCAGGCTAAAGACTACGTCGAATCCCTTCACCAAAATGAGAGGGCTCCTCTTGTCTATGGAAAGAACAATGTTATCGTCCAACCTGTGAGTGTTGTAATGTTCTTCAACAGTAATTTATTTTGCTGTTTGATTTGAAATCACGTGATGCAATTGCTCTTCATAATTAGGACGCGTTATGACTCCAAAATGCGATCTCATTAATGGCTTCGTGAAGCCCCTGAATCTTCTGTGCAAGTGTATTTGAATTCTCGAAGGTCCTGCTTCATGGTAAAAAAATCTGGTACTGTCACGATCTGATTAGTATCTTCTGGTCCATCATCTTAACGACAACGTTATCTGTTCTCAAAATTACAAAGAATGAAGTTGAAGAGTGCTAGTATCATCGACGGCAGGTCGTGGTGTTCTTTCCTTATCCCAAACCATCCCTTGTGTGTGAATGCGTAATCGTTTTCCTCCTTGCTCGTGTTCTAAAAGCTTTCTTCACTGGTAATTTGTACCCTCGACCATCCATCCTGACGCAGACTCAAGTTTAATGCCTGGGCTGTTAAATGTACAAGCACAGCTAAGCTAAAATGGTACCTACCTGCACTTTGAGACAATGGGGTTTTCATTGTCGTCGGTTTCACATCTCAGCGAGGTTTTTGTCTCCCGAACTGTAAAATCAGCTGTTAATTCGCGTAAAAGTGTTTCAAAGGTGCTTGATCCACTCCGTTCGCGTTGTCTAAACGTCACCTTCAAGTCTTGCTAGTAGGTACGCAACTATTTCAAGTTTTTTATATAATTTGCGAAGACTTATGCGACTGTTTCTTTCGTTATGAAGTGATTTAGCTGGTGTGTGTAAAGGCAACCAAAAACGCCATTCGTAGAGTAATTTTCACGAACCTTTCTATTGTCAGCTTATGTTTCTGCTTCCAAAACTAGTTGTACACAGTCTGAGGCCGTTTTCTGGAAATTACTATTCCAGTGGGTAGGCGATACTTATTCTTGCATTTCCCCGTAGAACATGAGCTCTACAAGGATTTCGGGCTACCTTTCGGTCCACAAGTCGGGCACCGACAAACTCCCCGGTCTTCAACTGAAATGGGCGCCCAATCGGGCCATGTCTATGCCTCAAGGGGGCGAGGAAGCCAACAAGAACGTGCTGGCGCGTGGCGGTGCACGCTCTCACAGGAATGCTGATGAAGGAACAAAGTCAATCCTTCACGAATCGTGCGTGTTGATGCGCGTATTGCTCAATTGCACATGCCGGGTTCTCCATACCCTCGATTTCTTACCTGACTAATTCACACTTATTCCTAGGCTGTTTCTGGAATCACTTTCGTTAATTTCTTGACGTGCACTAATGCATCCTTTCAGACTCTTAGATGTAGTTTTTAGTTGTTTTTCTAATTGTTACGAATACTGGTTTTTTCCAAAGCGCATTGAAGTGCATTTCAAGAAATTCGTGTATAGTGACGAATGCAATTACTCACAGCTAACTCACATCAACTAGTGGTTGTCACCTTTTTACAGCTGAATGCTCCCACGTTACGTAATGACATTGACAAGGCCGGCTGACTTACTACTCCAGACTCGTTAAATGTGCCACTGATTTATGCCGTCTTTGCATCAAATCTTCAAGGTGCAACTCTGTGTCACTGATAGTTGATTTTGTTCTCCAACGAGGCTTTATTATTTACTCAAAACGAACATTGCAAGATGTTCGTTACTAATTCTAAGTTTTCCGTCACTACTTGTCTTGTATTTTGACACAAACCTTCCTCCTTTATTTCAATACTCACACCCTAAGTCATCCACTGTCAGAAACAGCTGTTACACCTCGAGTATTTATTGTGTGTGTGTGTGAGGTGAACCACCAGCACTTATGCTTCAAATCACCACGTTCTGGTTGTCCGGCAAAATTAAACAAGGTAAAAAAGTGACATCGAACCAGCAAGTACTGATTCTTGAAGGAAGACCAAGTCAAATGTTGGTCCTATTAGCTAACTTTCCTTACAGCTTGACAAGAAACACGAATTGTCGATTTGTGGGTGCTCAGTGTTCACTCCACTCTATACTGTGATGTAACATGCCCTGAATGGACTACGCCATAGTCGGAGCGCATGTTTGCGTTTTAATTAATGCCACCCTGTACTTACGAATCATTATTTCATTGTTTTCGAATAGATTGCACATTAACTTTTTCATCATTTTTCGTACAACCTTACCATCTTCATTTACCAATATTTCAAGCTAAGTCCCACGGAAATGGTGTTTTAATGGCCAATTATATGACTCGATGTTCCACAGCTAACACACGTCTTAGTTGTTTTGCAGACGTTAGCGTCGAAAGGACGATAATTTCGATGCTGTTGGATTTTTGTAAAACAGATTTTTACTATTGATGCATGTAAGTTGTTCTCCAAAGAGGTGCCAACTACCTTGGGATATCTTGTCATGTTTTTCAAATTCTTTCTTGAAATACAACCTCTAAGGACTTAAAAGTGGCCTTTAGCTACATCTTAAAACAATGTGAAAAACGTCGTCATTAGCCAATTTTTTTCTCGATTGCTTGTCAAGAATTACTGTACTTCAAACTCACTATTTCCTTTCCGCAGGAACTATTGGGATTTCGCTCTGGACATTGACTTCACAACAGTTGTGTACATTCATTGCCATCGACATCGTACGTAGTTTGTTTCATCACTTTTCTTTTACTTCTGGGATTTGGTTTTGTTTTGTCGCTTTTAATAAGAACCCAATATGCTTACTCTGTAACTCAGCTATGGTAATCCTTCCGGTTGCTTGGGCATACAGTTTGTACCGCAAAAGCCGTGAGGAAATAGAAATGCTTGTCTTGTAAGCACAATCAGAGGCCCCGTTACGGAATCCAAAAATGCAATGCTTTGAAGGTTTTTTGACGTCAAAGGTTGGTTTAAATGCATAAATGCGCTGTACCGAATTTCACTTTAACGTGTTATCGCTCTAGAAAGTGCATCACAAGCTCACACTGTCTTTTGAGTGGTTTCATTTCAATGGTCTACTTCTAGTGACAACTGTGCATACCAAAACGTCGTCAAAATCGCAGAAGTGGCTGTTTATAAAAGGCACACCGTGTCGCTTCTGTTGCGTAAGCGCGCGAGATTGACTTTCCTCGTGTCGCTTGAAGCAGAGTACCTGATTTGTTTGGCCCAGACATCGCGCACGAGTAGGTAATCGTGCGAGTTTCCTGTCCTCAAGCGTTTGTCAATCTACTGGTTTAATATTTTTTTTTATTGTAAAAACGATTGTCTCCCGTGTTTACGTTATTGTTTTCGTTAACCGTAGAATATCACGCAATAGTTTGTATCCTGTGCGTTTTCCTCAAACTGCGTATGACCTCCCCTAGGCTACGGAGTGTCCTCTTCAAATCACTTGTAATTCTCCGTGGGGATTGGTCAATTTACTTGAGGAACAGAAGCCAAACAACAAATATGCGTTTTATTTTCATGGCCTTGTGTTACGCGGCAAGGCCTATTTGACGAAATTTAGGTTCATCCTTGTTAGTTAATGTAGTTGTGGTCGAGGATTCATTGTTAGTTCGTGAACGAATGGCGTTAAGATGCTGTTTTTTTCCATCATATGCCTGAGAAGTTTGCGCCGCTTTTTTTTAAAATCACATTGGTCTTTCTTATTAGGAAGAAGAGTTCTACTACCGACAGTATTAAAATTACTTTTTTTTAAGTTGAGATTGGCCGTTTGCTCCACACGTTGACATAACTTTTACCGTATGCCAGACGATCGATTTCTTGACAAGCATGAAACGCAAACCTCGTTGCTTCATGAATGGTTTCACCTCTGGCCTTCTTTGCAATTTAGATTTCGACGGTGATGGCGGATCCGTGGTGCTGGTGCGAACGGACGGCGTCCTCTATCCTCCCCTGATATTTCCTGCTTTTTCGCAGGTCACGTCGTTCATGCAGTGCCTCGAGACCCACTTGGCCCCCGGGGCTACTTTGACTCCGCGAATTGAAGACTTCGACTGGGATGACAGTTGTAATTTCATTGCTCGTGCTACGTCCCCATCACTTTGTCTAGGCCTCTATGTACAGTCCTAGTCTTTATAAAAGAACGCTGGAGGTTGTTCATAGAGTGCGGATTCTAGTGTTTTTGAGTTGATTGATGCGCATTGTTTTCATGGTTTCCTCGAAGAGGTTAGTTTGCTGATGGGCCTGCTATTTGCCAACGACCTCTGAGCTTATTTCCACACATCGTCATCTTTTTTTGCAACTTTTTGACAACAATAATAGTACTAAGGTGTGAATGGCTGCCACTGGGTAAGACGCCTGAGTGACCTCCGGCACCTATTTCTCGACATTTTGTGGTTTTTTTAATTTTGTAGCAGTGCTTGTTGTGGTCTAGAACACTTGGATAAATATAACATTAAAACTACCCACCCCTCCTTTGCAAACGTTGTGTAAAAACATTTCTCCATTGTTGGCAATTTTCATTTGCCAGCGGACCTCAATGCGAAAATTCTCATTTGTTATTTGAAGGTCGTACACCGTTCGCGTTTTTAGTTTCGGGTTCGGAAAGTCGAAATTATGACAAGCCGTAGGACGTGCATTGAGTCACCGCGCCCCCATAATGCCTAAGCCACTGAACAGAATGTCCCGATTTAGGGGAACACAAGGAAAACCGTAAAAGGCACTCACTACTGTTGTGGAGTATCTGATAAAATTTCACGTCTTGTTGTGATTGATGTTTAGGAAAGCGCTCTATCCTCTCTAAATTTGATACCAAGTAGAAATAATCGAGTAACGCTAGAGCGATTGATGAAAAAAAAAGTTGAATATTCATCGTGAAAATTCGTCCAGCGAGAACTTGTTGTTTTGTGGTTAAAGTTTCAGTTCATATGTCGTTTGTGCTTGTGTAAAGTGTGAATTCATTTTTAATAAAACATCTTGGCCATTTAGGAGTTAGATGCTTTCAATTATAGAAATTTAACTTGAGTCTAAAAGTAAAGCGCTGTATGTACAAGTATTCATGGCATTTGTGAGGTCGTTAAGAACGCTGCCTCCGTTTTGCGCGTTGAGCCAAGCCAGCTGTTGATTATTTTCGAAAACGGGCTCTGTTCGAGTCAACTTTCAATTTTCTCTTCAGCCGACAATTTAAAGGACATCTCTCCGAAGTCTGCCTTCAGTGATGGAAAATTTGAGATTGAGACAGCTTCCTCTTCGGAATTGACATCATCCCCGTCGAGTACATTGCCGACCCACTTCTGTTTCCGCATCGACACAGTTCGCCTTCCTCCCACAACCGTAAATTTTTTTCCATATCCTAGTAGGGTACCTATTTAAAACGGTGCAAATGTTATGTGCATGACCACAGCGATACTATCACACTGATGCCACGTTTTGCTGACATGTAGTGGGCTGTTTTTGACACCTCGTCGTTCTGCAACCCGTCCTTTTCAATGAGATGACCCTTCCTCTCACGCTACCATTTGGCTCGATTAAATAGCTACTCCAATTTCTTAAATTTTGTTTAACCAAGGATATTAGCACATACCACAAACGCACATTTTGAAAGCCTTCCTGGATTTTAGTGCGAAAATTATAACTTCATTGTACCTTAGAATTGTTGATTTCGGCAAGTGATCCCCACGACGTCATTAGAAATAGTAATTGAAGCTATCGTGTTGAGCCCTCACATTTAAGTACAGTAGCTCCCCTCTTTCCGACACTGCAGCTGATCGCTCCTGTTGTGATTCCGTGAGTTTTTCGAAATGCCTTAGGAAATAGATCTACGGTTTCGCGTGAAACGTGCTGGCGATTTTCGCTTTTAGTCTTTTGAGCACAGCATCCCTAAAAGAGCTCTTCTTTCCTCACTTACATTGGTTTATCCTTTTACAACCATTTCGGCTCTCTCTAGTTCTCTTCAGCATAGTGTTTAACTTCTTTATTTGCGCAATTACTATGCGTTATTGTACCTGGGTGTATTCTATTTTCTTAAGAACTGCTCTGGAATTATCCAGGAAACCTTCACAATATCTCACCGTGGAGGAAGACTGGGTTCCAACTAACCAATCATGTCTACTAGCAGCATGTCTTGCTTTTTTTTCACTTTCAGAAACAGGAGAGTGCTTTTCGCTTGTTCGCGTCACTAAGAGGCAGTGCACGCCTGAAGACACTCTCCATGGAAAACTTGGCTGCCTCAGATGCGGTCGATAAGCCACCTCCCCCCGTAGATCCCCCTCAAAAGTCCCCCATAAGCGCATTGGATGCGTTCTCAAATACCTTCAACACCATGCAGCATCAGATTCTCGCTCGTGTTTTTTATGGGTGTAAGTGTCGTCTTTCACCACCACACGTCCATAGCATGTCTTCGTGGTTAACAGTTACTGGCCTTTCGATCTGTCGTTAGCGTGTTTAAATCTTGGAGCTCAAGTTTTGTATAAGCGATTTGAGGTGAGTGTTTAATCACGTCATTGTTTCGAGCACTGTGTTGTATACCTCCGTAGTCCGAGTTATTCCAGTAAGGTTACACACGTACTTGAGGAATAGAAGTTTCGTCTGTTTAGTACCATGTTTGTGTAAAAAGAGATGTCATTTTAGTGTACTAAACTAACTAGGAATTGTTGTCGCAGCCTTCGATGTACTAAGCTCATCAAAACCCTGAATTAGTAAATGTGCTCTGCGCGATCTGAGAATGCTTATTAAGATGTGGCTGGTCCAGTTGCTTAAAGCTATGATTTTAGTGCCTTTGAAGAGCCAGTTATTCGATCCTTCAATTGAACAGTCGTCTTCCTTCCACTTTGGGGTGTGTTGCATGCCTTCATGCAAAGTCAGCACCCACCAGTTACCTTCCTGTTTACGTACGACGCGCGTTGGGTTTAGTTGGTTTGCAGGTTGATTGTCCTATTGCACTAGCCAATTCCAGGTACGCTATTCTTCAAAGGTGGTCGCAACATATTAAAGGGTGCATAATTATTGCTTGCTCATCGACAGGTCAATTTACTAAGCTGTTTTGTGTGTCCTTTGTATGAAACTCTTCCGTTTGTTCACCTCTCTCTTAGGTGTACATAAGAGGTGATTGTGCCCTTTGAAGTCTGGTCATTTTAGTTAATTCGTTCGGCCTAGCCCATGAGCAACCAACTTTGAAGCAGCTGGGTTAACTTGCGTCGCAATTCCGAAATGACTTTTTTTAACACTGTCAGGCGTCATTGCTCATATAGAATATTCAAGCTGGACTTTGATGCCTTTTTAAATCTGTTAAAGTAATGTATTTGCCATGAAATTTGGTGTGCACAGATTTACTTTTGCGCCTCCCTATTTTAATTACAGGGTTGACTTACACCCGTTCCATCATCCTTATTCGAAATAAGCTCCACACTTTGGTTTACCCGAGGTGCATAATGCCGAAACCGCCACCCATCGATCCCAAACCCCTGACGGCCGAATTCTGGCAAAAAGTACGATCCTCTGGAGGCAAGGTGAGCAGCCTATGGTTGCGTTTTTGCAGTTCATCACAATGTTATCGAATCCCTCAGTTGAGGCCTACTCTTGCCCTTTTTAAATTCTAAGTAGTGAAACCCAACACTGGGCAAAACAACACTTATTATTATTATTATTCATTAGTCTCTGGCACCATTTGCCCCTGTGTGCATCGGCAGTTGTAGGCACCTGGTGACCGGTCTGCTCCGTGGCGTCGGGGTCGTGCTCGTCGCTGTGTACCGAAGCTCCTTTTTACCATCTATCAGCCCTCCTCTTTGCTTAAATTATGACCTCAGTATTTTATTTCATCTTTCAATTAACTCCGCTTCCATAACCTATACAAAAAGCTACTGCTATGCATTATCCTCTTTCAAAATGGCCACATCGTTTTTTCGACAAGCCAACTTGTCTTTCAATTTATTCCTCCAATTCCTGGGATTCATTTCCACGGCAAATATTTCCAATTCATTTACTTACTTATTTATGAATAGGTGAAGTTTCTAAATGGCATTTTTATAGACGGACATCTTGCACAGTCACCTTCAGGACTATGCAGACAATTGATTTGTATAGCTGCTGTTGAGGCTTCTGAAATGCTCAGATTTAGGGGGATGCCGCGGTTGCTGGGATGTACATTACGTGTGTTTGTAGGCGCATTTATCAAGCATAATTCGCTTGCACCCTCCGCGTAGACGAAGTTACCGAACTAATTCAATTATGAGCACGTGCAATGTCTCTTCTACACCCTTAGAAATGATTTAGTGAACGAAGGTTCCTGGCACTTTATTTACAACAGTAATTCTTCTGCAAACCATTTTGATCTCTGAGGTGAATTATTTACGTTCCCTTCGTATATTTTGTTTTACACAGTTACTCTGTCGCTTGGCTTTAGATTTTGGCAGCAATTTGCCTTCTGTCGGGGAGGGGGTGACAGAATAAATCAACTGCCAATACATTTTATATTAGAATGAGTAACACTATGTTCATGACTTTTGTGGGATGGTTTAAATTTGGGTATTAATATGCTTACTAGAGCGGTTTGGTTTCATGAAAATAGAAAATTTATATGTCGTTAATTGAATCACCGAATTTTGTTCATTGTGCGGCGCTCACATTCACTCTTAGTTTGCGCTTCGAATGTGTGCTGGACTACTGCTTGTTTGCAAATGGCTCGTTGCACTTTTTGTTAACAAAAACTTTCAACCGAGATCTTTTCGCCTTCATTTAGACCGCTCACATCCGAGAGTTGTACGAACGCATTTATTTCGGTGGCTGCGACCCAGATTTGCGTCGAGAGGTAAGCCTTGTTCGTGGGTCAATAAATTTTGCCACTTCTTCCTCTTCATGCGTCTTCTTCCTATTCCAGAATTTAATTATCGGTTTTTTTGTTCTTTGTGGATGTAAAAGCCACAGGGATCTTATCTAGAAAGATGAGTGCTCCCGCATCCAATCTTGTATGTTATGTACCAGACTTGTGTCACTACTCACATCGTACTGGACACGGAAGCACAAGACGTGTAGCCCTAAAAATCTACGAGCCGTTGGGTTGCCTGAATAAGCACCAAGTTCGGTTGTTCGCCCGCGTTTACTTGTCGATGGTTTCCTCGTCACGAGCATTCCGGTCGAAACTTTTTGGCGCCGGATTTCAAGTATCTTAAAAAAATGCCAGCTGGCATTTCGTGTCGTATCCTGTCGTGCTTTTACACTTAGGGGGAAGAGAGGGCCTTGTCCGGGAGGAATCGGAGCAGACTTGGGCAGATTTTCACGAGTTTTTCGAATTCTTGCGCTAGCGACTTCTTTGCTTAATATGGCAGTTGGCGTCTTACTCCTCTTCAACATTGTACGATAGCATTCATAATCACCCAATTTGCCTCAGTTAATTTTCAACAAAGTTCCATTATTTTGTGATTCAACTGAAGAAAATTAATCGAATATTGGCCATTTTTGTTGGAGCTAATTAATTGTCTCACTCAAGTCCTGCAAGTAGTCTAGGACCTTTTGTGGGACTTTGGTCTTTGCCGAATCGTTGAGTGTGTCATATCAACAATAAGGAAATCTCTGCAACGCGGGTCTTGTATTTTGCTTCATTTGTGACGTATTAATCAAAAAATCGGTTTTGTTGTTTGGCACCAAGTGAATTGGTGGTGTCGTCCCTTCGCACAAAACCCACCACACGCGTCGACACACCATATGCCCCTTTAAGGTGCAACATCTAAACTAGCTCAAATGTTTTTTTTCACAACTACATCTACTAGTCTCGTCTAAGTAATGGATTTAATGCCATTTACTTGGGTCCTTAACATATAGATGAAATATTTCTTGTGCGAAAATATTTTGTGCGTGCATAATAAGTAAGGTTATCGGTTTTTATTTAATCAAGGTAATATGTGTGTGGTTTTCATCGGGGATGTTGCTGTAAATTCCGTTTGAAAGAGCACACTGCGCGACTCGGTTTCGCAGCCTTCCTATTTCTTTAATAAAATTTTAAAATGCGTTTTCTTTGTGGTAGTATCACCGAGCTCAGATAAAACTGCAGTCAAGGACTTACGAGTGCAAAACTAAGTCTGCCCTAAGTGAAGGAATTCACATGAGTGCTTGGAATGTGATTTCGTTACCAATCGTTAAGAAGGAATTTAAGTAGACCACTTCGAATGATCTGGGAAGATTTACCATTATTATTTGACTATCTCTTTATCAGCAAAAAATCGAGTTAAGCAATCCGAACTTTCATTGTTACGGTGTCCTCCTTTTCTCAGGTGTGGCCGTTTCTTCTTGGCCACTACCCCTGGTCCGCGAGTCCGGCAGAAATCGAAGACATCGATAGGCGGACACACCTGGCCTACGAACGTTCTGTATCTGAATGGCTGGCCGCGGAGGCCATCATAATACAACAGCATCGGCTGCAACGTCACCGAAACGAGACTGAAGCCCAAAAGGCGACGAACCTCTCGTCGTTCGTGCACCCCGATCATCGGCCTGCCACGAAGTCGCGCGCCTCATCCGCCCACCATGGATTTATCGGTCCTGAAAAACAAACTGTTGAAGAGGTCAGTGGCCCAGCCCACTTAACGCATGAATGGTGGTGGAAAACGTTCTAGCGATTCCTACTTTTGTGGTATTTTATTTCGAAATTGGTGGGTTTTTTCATAGTGACGGTCGCTTTAATTCCTAATTCGTTCTTTCGTCTCGTGGTATTCTCAGTAACTTGGACTTTGCGTTGCGGTTAACGCAGTGTGGTGAGATTAGTTTCGAACCACAGAATCGTAGTATTTCAATTTCTCGGGTGATAACTTGCATAGGAAATGTCCAGTAACAGTTCTGAAGAAATGATAACAATGGACTCGATGGTAGATTAGTACGTCGTTTTCCCCCTTTTTTAATACATTATAGATTCTAACAGATGCCTGGAACAGAGTGAAGCGCCGAATCTCCACTGTGGTAGGTTTGGATAAATAGACCTAATCGCCTTATTTTGCCATTTTTTTAAGATTAAATTTTAAAAATATAGCATTAGTATTAGGTCTTTTCGGCTAGCATACATTTACTTTGGCTACCCGAACGTATCGGAGGTGGGACAGGACGGTGGAGTTTCAATGGTTTATCAGGCCGATAAGGCCGGTGCATGCATTGAGTTCAGAGGCGTAAACAGTGTAGCATAGATCTGTAAACAAGAGGATTAGCTGGGGTCTGTAATGATAATAATAATCCGGGATAAACATTTGATTTATTGGGGGTTGATACAGTGACAGGGCTGCGTGGTTCAGCAAGGGGGAGGAAATGTTGGAATCGATCGCTTGTGACCTGCGTGGTGGTTGTGAATCCCCCGGATGCACCAAACCGACTCTGGGCTCGACGCCTTCAAGGGCTGTCAGGCGAGTTGTGGTCTACGCAATTCAGTTCTACGCGTTGCTAATGCGGAAAGTTCGCGTTCACTTTGCCGGTTAATTTCATCATCATTCGCCTTAGACGACATCATTGTCTTTGTAATTAGCCCCTAATTCGAAAAGTCGCTGAATAGCCATTCTTGTGTACTCATGGGACGTGCTTTCAAAGAGAATAATTTCTATATGTATTTATCTAGACCTCGCCATATTCGAAACAGACCGGTGAAACCAATGGGCATGCAAATGCAAACACAAACCTCCCCTCTGGTAACTACTCGTTGCGATTATTTCTTGCTGTTGATTCCAAAAATGTGTCTCTAACCTAAAAACTTTCTTGATAAAATCACCGGCCATTGAGTGGTCCCTTTCAATTAAGGGATAATTTTTTACTAACAAACAGGTTGCAAGTGGTGTGTGCTTGTTCAATGGTTACTCTTAATTGTGTTTTGACGCCATAAATGCTACTGTAATATTATAACTTTCAAAGCGTTGACCTTAACGGTACGAATTTTGAAGGGGAACTACAAGCTTCAGATGCGGGGCACCAGTCCCTTTTTTGAACATTCTTGATAACCAAGTAATGGAGAAAAGTGTCCGGGCCTATCCATGCGTCATGATTTTTATGCACCATCGACCGATGTTAGTACCTAAGCTCACTGCCTTATTTTTTTCCTATGTACATCGTCACACTCTTAGCCAACGGACTCCCTCCTTTACCGTCAAAGCCCGCAGTTAAACGCCTAGTTCTGAAGAGCGAGGCCGGATGTGGTGGTCGAAGCTCTGTCGATATGACTGATGAAGGAACAGAGGACTACACACTAACTACAACTGATGATGACGATGCTGTCGAAGTCGCGACCACAATGACCCTCCAAAGACGGCTGGCGATCGCTCGTGCACACTCCTGTCCGAATACCCCCCGAACTCCGAATGCTGGGTCCGCGCTAATTCGGGGCAGCATGTCGTCAGCCATAACCCAATCAACTGATAAAGATTTCGAGGACGTTTTTGAGCCCACTAATTTTCCTGCTAATCGATCCAACGGTCAAGTATTGCCGCCTGCGAGAGAACGAAAGCGTAGCCGTTATTCGCGTGCCGAGATTTCTGGTTCTAGCTACTCGGTACGTGCTGTCCCCGATTACAGTGTTTGTCTGCTTGCACGGTCATGTAAGCACTATGTTTGGAAATTGATGTGTGCAGGTGCAATCTTCCTTCCATGCTTGGTGTAATTTCGAAACGCTGTACTTGTGACAGCTTACGGCCGCCGGTGTATCTAATTTTTAACACTCCGGACAACCTACGAAGGTTTTACGATTTTTTCGTTTCCGGTATATTGCTCAAGTGACATTTTTTTCCAATCAAAGTCTGGCATATTTGCATTTTTTTGGATTTATCTCTTCGTCAAACCCACATAAACTGAATTGTTGCACGATATTGCTTAAATATGGTTTACTTTTATTTGATATGCTCACTATCACCTGGGGACATACTTGTCTTTCAAATTAAAAAAGGTTGAAATCTTTGTGTTATTTTACTCGCGCCTTCAGTGTATAGGTCTAATTTCGATCAATATTAATGTCTTCTGTTTCTTGTCGCAGAGTGAAGTTCTTGAGGCACTATCCGTTAACATTCAAAGGATTGACAAAGACGTGGCCAGATGTGATCGAAATTATCACTATTTTGCTAAAGGTCAGCTACTGTTAATGTTAAAAATAATTTTTCTATTTGCTTATTTATGATCGGTCTCAATTTCCCAGGTATTTTTGGCGATGATGCAAAAACTTCATCTGACCAAGCAGGCGGTTTATGCGTAGCCAGTCTCGACCTATCGTCCAATCTCTACCGCCTGCGGACCATAATGTGTACTTGGATTTGGCAGCACATGGAGACGGGCTATGTGCAGGGCATGTGCGACCTACTGGCTCCTCTCCTTGTTGTTCTGGATGACGAAGCCCTCGCCCACGCCTGTTTCTCCCAGCTCATGACGACGATGCTCGCCAACTTCCCCCTCCCCTCTTCGTCTTCTATCTTGAGCAGCGGGTCTGCTGCGGCGGCGGGCGTTGTTCTCCCTCACCTCCTCGAACCCGTGGTTTTTGAGCGAGCCCCAAACCATTGCTACGAGTTTACGCGCCCTATGACACAGCAGCAGTTATCATTGCGGGAAAGCCACGACGCAATAAATGGAGAAACGTCTGTACCACTCACCGATCTCGCTTCAATTGGAAGCAGTCGCATCAGCAGACAATTCCAGAGCCTCCGCAGTCTGATTGAGGTATGTCGAAATCGTATACTAGTCCCCTAGAACATCCAAGTCGGCCTGCTAGACATACTGCTAAACATTTGACTACTCTGCAATGGTGTAATTGAGCCAGACCAATCTTCAGTACAGTTTCAAACGACTAATCAAATCGCCAAGACACATTTAGTTATCAAATTGTTTTTGAACTTAGGAATTTTTCTAGTACGTGATTATCAATGACATTGTCATCAATTTCATTTTGTCATTGCTCTCTGCCCTGGGCGTTAAAGAAGGTACTTTATTGTCTCTTATCTGATTGGTCCCTGACAAATAATTTTTAATTAAAAATAAGGCTTCCTGGGTCCCATTACGAGTATGTGCAACAAGTTGACAGCCATACTGTGTTTAGTGTGTGTTGTTCTACCAGCCTTACTCGAAATCCAGGTGAGGAGGGGACACAATTTAGTCTCGCCTACTTCTTCGTATCTGGGTTTTAGTGAAACTAGGTGGGCGATGTAGCGCCCAAGTTCGGCCGCAACCGCCCTGTGATTGCCACTTAGTGGGTTAATTTGGCACAAGTTCATTTTCAGGTTCTGGATCCCGTCCTCGCGGAGCACATGCACTTAAACGAAGACAATTCACATCTCTACTTCTATCGGTGGCTTCTACTGGACTTCAAGCGAGGCAAATTATGTCTTTTTTAAGTGATTAAAACATAAAACTTTGTTTAATCATTTTCCCCTCATTATTTAGAACTTAAGTACGCCGACGTATTCCTTGCCTGGGAAACAATTTGGACCTCACACCGATTAGTCTGTCCGGATTTCGGTGTTTTCATTGCATTTGCTATGATTCAATATTATCGAGATATTATTCTCTTCTACTGTTCCGACTACACAGACATTATACGATTTTACAACGGTAAGCCTTCTGTTAAACTCAGAACTCATAATAATCTCGGTTGATCACAAATTAGTTTGTGATTTGTTATTCTGAGCAAATGTATTTACTTCTTTCTTAACCTAAAAATTCTCGAGATTTAAAATCTCATTAAAACATTTTTCTTCACCCTACCATGTTTAAGTAAGGAGGCCGTGTGGTTTTGTCTGTCAAATTATGGGCGTCAAGGAAATCCATGTTTCTCATTGCCACATGGAAGACATTTTTGTGTTTTGAAGTCGTTAAGGAGGCTTCTGACCACCAAGCAGTGAGCCGTGAAATCATTTCCCAAGAGCCGTTACACTTGATTTCAAGCCACCATCATTTCAGCTTTGCTTTTGTTTTTGGTTTTTTATCGTAACTGTACGTGGAATATGAAGTTTATACTTGGCGAGGATAAAGGGTCCAAATTATTCAATGAATGTTCATACCTTGGGGGAACACACAGAGACAACCGAAATATTGATCGTTTTTTGATTTCATTGTTAAACTGATGAGTTAAGTAAAAGTATTCGTTTTACGGTGACAGTTTATCGATTTTCCTTGGTCATTGTATAAATAATTTGCTTTTGTCAATGATTCCTTTTCTAATTCGCTAATTTAAAGGTTAATGTCGTGTGATTTGTATGAACATCGACATCCCTAACTAAGTAACCACACGTTCATTTTACATTTTTATATTTTGTTTCCCTAGCTTCACCCATTTTTTTATCAACTTAAAAACTTATTTTGTTAACCGGGTAACTAGTGCTTGGAACCTCCCTACCGATGCGTAATACCTCATGCGGAAAGTTGCATTTGAAGCGACAACTGTAGGCCACATTATTCATTGTTGGTCCGAGTTCCCTGGAAAAATCGCCCACAACATAATTAAGGAGTAGTATCGTGTCAGCTTTATCATGAACTGCAGAAGTAATCCTGGTATTTGAGAGCAGAGTTTTGTTTAATTCCCTTTTACCGTAAGGTGATATGTTTGCTACTGGGTTTCTGACAGCTTCATCATTACTTTTTCTTTAGAACGAGCGGAACTTCATGACCTTTCCAGGTTACTGAGTTTTGCGCGTGACCTGATTTATCGGCTGCAATCATTGATCGCTTCGTCGATTCATCCCAAACTGAGCAGGCGGTCAAAGGTCCATTTAATTTATAACTAAATCATTGTCTCCCATTTCCTTAAATCATTCAAATACGCTATTATTTCCATAACACTTTATAACTTTCTGTAATCAAATCAGAGTCATTTTTTACTAGAGTTTCTTCTCTGTTCAATTTGTGATTGTCGTTTCTGCTAATCGCTTGCCTGACCACCTCCACTACCGCAAGTTGAAACTGTGATTGTCTTCAAGTCTTTCGACCGTGTCTCGTCGTCGTGTGTCTGCTTTACATGGTCATTTTTCCTCGGTACCGTTTTTACTGTTGTAATACTCAAATAACTGGTCATAAACCTCATATTTGGAAGCCTTGGAATTTATTTTCTCGATTTGTCTTGTCATCTGTTTTTGTAATATAAAATACAATTATTGCGAAATTTTCACTGTCATTTTGTGTGGTGCTCAGTTCAAAATAGAAGTGCAGTACACACTGAATTGGCTACAGCGGTTAGAGTTTCTGTATCAAATGCATGGGGTGGGTTTTCATTTTTGACCATAGAGTTTATTTTAGGAATTAAGCGACTAAAATATGAGCGCGAAATGGAGATTCGTTTCCTGTTTATAGAGGGATGCCCACAACACGATAAAAATTTGTCTTAGTAATGGGAATGGAGCAACATTTCAATATTTAACAATAGATTACCCAGTATAATAGATTTCGCAGTTTTGGGTAGTTGGATGCGATTTTGATTAACTGAGTTCGAGCTCTAAGAAGTAGGTGTAGTTGTTTCCTTGTCTAGGAAAGTGATATATATGGTTTAGAGAATGATTGGTTTTAGGTTCAAAAAATGAATTCCTGTAAACGGGAAATCGCATTTTTTCTGCTCTTTCAAATATCATATTTGACCACGTGCTATAAGAACAGACATATATAAGACTATATTTTCACTTTTCACAAAAATAATCAAATGAGAATTGCCATTGTGTTTAAGAAAATGGTAAAATGTGTGACGAAACTGTAAGAAAATAATTAAAAAGTTTTGTCCACATCATTCGTATATGGATAGGTTAAGTTTCCTTTAGGGTCAGCATAATTATTTTGCCTGATGTTCACTAAGCAACAAATTCAGTAACACTTGAAATATCCGAACAGCACGAAACATTGCAAATATATGCAAACCAGCCAAATTTTTCGCCAAAAATCAGGAGCATTTCTTAAAATTCTCACGGTTACTTGATAATTTGTCTTTCAAAATCTACATTGCTTTATCCAACATCTGACATTTTTAGACTTTCATCGTCATGTACAATGAGGCAGATCAAAAAATAGGGAAGTAAACTTGGGGAAAGAAATGCCGTCCACAGGGATTTGTAATTTTTTGTTGAAATGTGTGACTACTAATGACACATGTCTTGATTTTAATTGAAATTCAATAAAAAATACTTTTCGCAATTTTAGTAATTAGTTTAGTATGTTGAACTTATGTGGCATTTATAAAATGATATTTTAATGCATCATTTTGTAATGTGTTTGTTTAACTGTGCTGCAAATGCGAGGTTTTCCCATTGTGCGCAACCTGAAAGGTGGGCAACTTTGCTGCTTTGCTTTAGACTTAGTGTAGTGGTTTACTGTGATGATGTGATTTTTTTTACTTTAATTGTTTCGTGTGGTCAAAACAAATCTAAAAGCTAATTTGTTTTTTCACATAAACAGCTAACTGATGTTGTTCATAGTTTTGTGTTTATTAGCGTAAATGCTCTACGCTTTGCGGGTGCACCAGTGCTTACTCTTGAGCTATTTGTGTGTTAACCTGCTTACATGCCCTTTTTCTCTTATGTTAGTATTACTCGCTTGGTGGAGCTTAACTTTACTTCATCGTTTGGTCAGTAAATTTTAACAATTCATTTTCAATCTATTTTTCGGCAAACCTTTGGTACATTTTGTGAACGTGATAAGAATTTTCAAATACCGAATCTTTAATTCTCGAAAATGTATGTGGAAGTTTTTTGTATTATTTGTAGGGCATCATGTTAGGGGCTTCACTTAAGTGGGAAACTAAGCAATCATTATCTATGTATGTTTTTAATCATCAGTTTCTTTTCACTTGTTCGTTATTTGGCGTTGACAGAATTTCGCACAAAGAATTGTTTCACGGCCACCTTTTTTATGTGATGTTGGGTCTGGTTTCAAATAGGTTTCGAGGTTTTATTCTTTCATTTCTCTTTGAGGTTCTTACCGTTTACTATCTTTTTTTACAGTTTTGCCGAACCTCCTCTCTGCCTTGTTTTGTGCTTCTTTGATTAAAGAATGATTTGCTAGAATCTTCGCACACTTTTTGATTACCGTAATGCCTGGATAACCAGCTAATCGATCTCGAAGCCTCACCAGCGTTTCGTGGAAAGGGTTATTTTTCTGAAAGCCATGTTCATTGAACCGTTGTCATGTGTCAATGACTTTCGACGGGAGGGCTATGCCAAAAAGTTACAGAAAACGGGAATCTTTCAAAGGCCGGAAAAGCAAGTTTATCATTTCCACGCTTTTTTATTTGTTTAATTTCAGGTCAAATTTCTATGTCACCTATCTTCTTTTTCTCAAAAGGGATAGCTTCGTCAGCACTTCCGACATCCTTGTTTCTCAGTGTCCACAAACGTCTTCCACTGACTCGATGGAAGATCGGGAGAACTACTTTCTGGCCAGGCTAGTGCGCATTCATGGATCAGATTGGGAGCATATTTCTCATCAATTGGCTCCAATAGCAAAGCGAACGCCGGCGGAGCTGCGTAGACGCTGGGCTCGTGTTCGTCCGCTATTCGAAGCACCGAACTGTCGGCGCCATTTATCCACTTTGACTAATAAGCTGAAGTACGTTGATTAGCTCGATCACCATTCGATATCTCACTACGATTTTTTCACCATCATTTGCGTAATTCTTTTGTTTCGCAGCTCCACTCTTGAGTGCCCATCAAAGGTATCACCACACATACATTTCCAATCTGACCGCTCTCCCTACCCTGTCAGGCCTCAAAATCGATCTATCCGACAGTTTAACTTTTCTAAAGATGACGCTTTTCCACGCGGTAGTTTTAATTTCACCGTAAGTTATTCTGCTCCAGTACTTTGTGATAGACACTTGTGATTCGCTCTCTCTCGTATAGAGCTATTAATGGCTTACAACAGCCTTTACAGGGCACCGTCACATGACCTCGTCTTTTTTGAGATATTACGTGGTCACTCATAAAAATATTTTTTTACAAAAACATTTTGCGTGTTTTTTACCATTGCTGATATCTTGTAGGTTCGATTGCATATCTTTGGATAGGGACTCACACTTTAGAGTGTGCATTTTAAAGATATCGCTCTTCTCGATCACTGATGCGCAGGTCGGACCCAATGTCCGAACCATCGTTTCCTCCCCTAATGCCGGTGACTCATCGGGTCTCTGTTGCTCTCTCTGTGTTAATTGTTTATTCAACATATAAATCATTCGCCAATCTTCGTTTACTCATCAAAACCTCATTGATTTGCTTCGATAGTTGTTCCATTCAAAATTTCGTTTCTTGGTCCACAGAGTATAACTATGTAAATAATTGAACGTCTTTGCGTCATGCTCCCATAAATTAAAGCGCGGTTAATGGCTCTTAATTAACAGAATCCTCAACTTTTGATTGGTCTTTAAACATTTGATTTTTTGCTACTTGGCAAATAGTTTTTTTTCTACATTGCTGCTATGCTGTCCAAATTCAGTTCTTTTGCTCCGTCGATTGCTTTCCTTCCACCGAAATAACTTATCCACGTGTTCTAAAATGTGGCTCGAACTAACGAGTTTTTTTCCATCTTGTAGGATTCATCTACTTTAAGAGCGCAAAATTGGCTTAAGCAAAGGAATAAGGCGACAAATCAATATCCATCTTCAGAGTAAGAATATGTATCTTCGTCTTTTGATATTGTCCACCAATTCGTTTGCAAATATTTTTCCGTTTTCCTTGAGACCAGCTTTGATCCCATTATGATAAAAAGGTAATGAGCTCTTGTTTACATGAAAGTGTAATCTGATTAATTTAGCAACTCATTTTTTTAAACTTATTTGTAGATTTTTGTACCTGATACTCGGTAATGTGACAAACCGTGTTGCGTGGTAGTCAATCCTTATGCGACATTTTGGTGCTTTTACTCACCGAAACAAAATATTATTTTTCCCAAGTGTCCTATTTTTCTGTTACTCGGCCTTATTGCAAGGGTTTATGGCACAGGATATCGAGCTTTGCAGTTCACACTGAAAGTCATTCTGACGATCTCATTTGCAGCTACGTGCCATGAACAAGTATATTTATTGCATTACCTAGAATGAAAGGAGTCGGTAGATATATAGGCAAGGCATTTTTGTATGAGGTTGATCCTAAGAGTTATTTTTTTATATTTTTAATTGTACTCGTACGTTGCTCTAACACGTCCCTTCTTTTTGGTTCGGAGCTGAGTCGTCCATTCAGCTTTCGAATTTCGGCTTTACATTTTGCAGATGCAGGAGTTTCGCACTTTCCAATCTAAGACCCTTCAAGCTCAAGCTAAGGATTATCTTTTGTGCTTTTATATATGGTTCTAAATATTTTCTGCACACCCCGAGCTTTATTTACGTTCCTAATATGATTTACGCATACAGATATCCTGGCATTCGTTAGTCATTTTCCAGTTTTTTTAGCTAATATTGCTCAAGAAATGCAATAGATTGGCATGCCAGTTGTACATGACTTCTAACACTCATTTACTACACCCATTGTAGATTGCAAACGGTCAGTCATTTACTTTTTCTACTTCCAAATACCTGCAGGTATTATTCATCGCCCTTCCGTCAGTCGGTGGTAGGGAAAAGGCAATTGGACTCAGCCCCTCGTTTGGTCGCCACGCGTCCCCGAACAGACCAACCCACCTTTTCTGATGCCAGCGCTTTGTCACCCGTCCCTGAGTTCTCGGCAGTTTCGCCCCACGTCCACGTTCTCAACTTCGACACTCTCAACGACGCCTCCGATGACAATGTGTCCGACTCTCTTAGTCTACCCTGTCATGAATCTTCTCCTGTCACGACGCCACTCACATTTTCCCCCAACAATGATGATATCTTCGCGGTGCAGACACCCACCAAGTCTATCAGCGAGTCTGACCAGCAATCGTTTCATCTGATCAGTCCACCGTCTGGTTTTGGCTACCTCGGTGGTGCAAGTACCTCCAACTTGAGTGGTTTTATGCAACCTCGGAGGCTATTTTGTTCCAATGGACCGCTAGAAAGAAAGCCATCTTCTCCAATGGTCAGTCACCACTTTTATGTCTTCTTTTTAGTTAGGAGATAACTATGATCGTTTTCTGTTATCAATCCTGTATCTGATTACCTACTTATTTCATTTTCAAATGGTCGTGAAGTGAGATGTTTTGCATGTGTGACCTGTTTATCATCACTAAGTTGATTACTTCGGTGCATCTCACTCTTGGCACATTTGTTGATGGCAGTTATTTGCCTGGCGTTTAAAACGCAGTTGTATTTTTTTTAGCTCCAATGAATTTCTCTTATAGTTACTAAATCGTCTATCTTGTAAAATTAAAACAAACTTCAGACACTAATTTTTATTTTTGTAGTTCATTTTTTCCCTATTTTTTTCTGTTTATGTATGTGCTTAGTGTGCTATCGGTCGTCAAAAAAGATTGACCACTTTTTACCCACTTACACCGGCTTTTGAAATACATAAAGTTTTTTTTTCTCGAACGCCTTATCCTTCGCTGTGTGAATATATTTAAGGATCCAAATTTTACCGCCGTCCCTTCATTTCCTCCGAAAATCTTCATGTCTGACGCAGAGAGATCAGCGATCTCTCTCAATCAAAACTTGTCCAAGAAGTCCCTCCTACCAGCTGTGTCGTCTGTTGAAACTCAACTACAGCCTCCTAAAGCCTCTAACAGCGACTCAATTGCACTTTCAATGGCCAAAATCACTGTTTGGAATCGAATGGCGGCCTCTGCTAAGGCTACTTCGTCTACAAAACCGACACAGCCCCCTGTGGATCCCTCGAAACGCCGACTGGGGTTTCCGCGCCATGCCACCTCCACTCTGCGCCAGAGCTTGCCCTTTCCTGTGCAGAATCAACCTCAGCTCTCCATACGGCGCATTCTGCAAATAGGGTTCGAGGTGAGTTCATGAATGCAGCCTCACTTGTAATGTAGTTCGGCGTTCCTCTCTTATTTTCTCCATACTTGGTCTGCCAGCTGACTTGCGTGTTCATGTACTGGGAATTACTTACGCTAAGGACTAGGTTTGGTAATGTCAGCTGCTTTAAGTAAGAATGTCCTGCACGTCTTGTCTATATTTCTCCTATACCGAGCATCTTATCTTAACTAACTGAGACTACTAACGATGTCTTGCTGAAAACATGACTTTCATACCACAAAGTTAACATGTTTGCTGAATTAAGTAAATTTACTTTTTAGATGTGTGTGACCGCTACTTTTTTTCCATTTTATAGGCAAAGTGGCGACATTTTGCACTGGCTGAGAGTCGTAGCTACAAGAACACCGTCGAACTGGCTCGTCAGTACTTGGCCTCACGGTCTGTAGATCCATTTTGACTTATATGTGCCCCCATCTCTGAAGATTGATTATTGATTTACTTGAGTCGCACACGTATGATCGTACAACGCAGCAAAGTTCTTTTTATCTATATGATTGTGATCTGCTGTGGTTGTTGTTGTTTATATCTTTTCTGCGCTTCTCATCATCTTGATTATCATCATCATCACCATCATCTGAACAGGGGATCGCGAATTTCTTTAAAACGTAATTTCCTATTCTCTCCTCGTAATTTCCTAACCTTGTATCACGAAAGCTTGTGCATATCTCGCTCTTCCTATAGCCCCTCAACCCAGCCGATTTTTATATCGATTTGTTTAACTTTGTGTTGTTCTTGACCCTCCGCTATGAATCATTAATGCCTGTGGCGCATGTGTTTAAATCTGCAAAAAGACGCGAAAGTCCCTCTAGCCTACGTATTTAGCTGATCATCGTCGTTTTGTCTTGGTAAGAGCCATGCCATTTCCATACGCAATATGCCTTTTGGAGCGACCCCGTCTCTCACTGTGTCTGTTGTGACCGACCCCCAACAAATATATATCCATACCTAATGTGTTCTTTTTCTTTAAAAATTTATATAGGACGCAGAGTCCCCGGCAAAAACATCAACAAACACCCAATATTCATTTCTGTACTGTTTCGCTACAGCATTTTCACATAGATAGAATTCGATGCTCGTGTAGTTTTTCTCATGATAAAACGCTTGAAGAAAAGTCCAAGATTCTACTTTTAAACGTTCAAGGATGTAGGTTTTGAAAGCGTGAATGGAGCAACCTTGGGTCCTATGCGGAGGATTAGTGTAGTTGTGTTTCAATGCGAAAAGGTCATTTTCTGTTTTCGAGTTCCTTGTTTAACACTTGAAGTAGCGGGAGTTTAATTAGGACACCGCACCCTGAGCTGAAAGGCTTCCGCTCGGGCAATTATTCGTATTATGACAGGTAACTGGTTGTAGGTTGCTCATGTGGTAGATGTTCAACGTGAATGTGTGCGTGCCGCCTGGCATACCTTTGTTACATAATATTTTTATACCGATGATAGAACAGGACGGAATATTGGGATGGCAGATGTTCCTTGGACACACTCGTGAATGTCGTCTGCACAATCTGGAGGTCGCTCCAACTACCTTCGATAATCATTGCTGCTGAAATATTTTCGGACTTTACAGATTAATTCGAGTAGACTAAGTGGGCAGGTAGCATTTTTTATTGTCATAAACACCAGATAAGTAAAATGGGAAACAACATCGAAAATATCCAAAATAGACCAATTATCGAGCTATTGGGCAGTGGTTGTTGAGAGGCGTTTGCGTTACGCCGGCGAGAAAGGATGTCAGAACTGTCCCGCAAAGGGGATTACTAGTTCTTTAGACGTCTTTCTATGTGAAACGTGAACTATGGCATTAGGAATTCGATCACCTTCCAAGTTATCGACGTTTTTCTCGACTTTCACTAGCCTGATGTAATTTCTGATAACGTGCATGTACTACCTCTTTCGACAGTGTGAGGAAAAGTAAACTCATACACCTAAAAGTAATGGCAAAATACATCAGTATTTTTTATTTAGCCTGTTAAGTATGGCCGAGTTTCGTCGTTTCCTAGTTTAGAGATAAGAGTTAAAGTTTAGTGTTCAACGAAATTATAAGACTCATTTGTGAAATAAAAATTGTAATCGGATTTTTGTCTATTATTGAATCCAGGACACAAATCCTCACTGTTTTGACCTTGGAACACCAAACTACCACAAATAATGCATTTGTTATCTGAAGAACGCCCTTCAAAGGCCCAGCAACGGCCTAAATCGGTGGTAGCCGTGCCACAGCTGATTGAATTAGCAAGTCAGCTGATATTGTCAACAGAATCCTAGAGGCAAATATACTGGCAAAATTTTTAAAGGGCATTTGCCTGGTCCCCTGCAGAAACCGTATTGTTGACGATGATAGTTGCTACGGTTCTGTGACAAAATATGTCAGGCCAAATGCATTTAATAATTAAGATAAAGTTTGGCTGACATCAGGAGGCCAGTATTGAGGCTTTCATTTCGCTACCGAAGAATTCTTCATCTCACATATGCCCAAAGTGAGCGTTCTAAATTCGCTGAGATTACACCGAAAACCGTGTTGCAAAATAGGTGGAATTTGGTTCATGATTGTTACGTGACTCAAGTATGCAAATTGGTTACCGTTTACAGCCGGGGCAAAACAGGCTTTTGAGAAATTTTCTTTCTCATAGACGTTAGCGATGGTAGAGGCAAATTTTCGAGATTCAAATGAAGAATGATTTTTGGGGATGGTTTGGATGCATACCAATTTTTTCCTTTTTTTAAAAACGAACTCTTTTAGTCGTTAGTGCACGACTAATGCTTTGGTAGTTGAAAAAGCTGGTTTTCATTTTCTGGCAGTGTTTAACAGACAATATTTGACGTGCTCATTCTTAGGAGTCTTCTGCACGTAGACATGGTATACAAAACGAGGTCACGACGGCGCTTCCCACCACACCAATTTCCTCGCATAAACTTATGGGAGTTATTATGGACGGAAAGAAGATTGCCTGATAACAAAATTTGCAGCACTTAAGCGTTCGGTTTGTGGCATATTGAGATAACATTTGGTACCACCGCTGAGCCGCTTGAAGATTTACACCCGTTAAAACCAGAATACATATGTACCACACAAACGCTCGGGACACAGAAAGAGGCTCTAGACTACTATTGGTAAGTGCAATCAATTTCGCACACTGGTGGAAACTAAAACCTTCACGATTACTCAGTGGAGGAAGCTCTTCGAACAGTCTCTGCATAGCACGAAAACGCCACACATTGTGATCGCGAAGTCAGAACCTGAAAGATACGAACCAAGTAGTAAACCAGTTACGTTGGCTTATTCGGGACCATATGGTTCCAACAGTATGCTAACACACATACCTAAAAACAAGCATCTGGACATATGAGGTCCGTTGCTACTAAGGTGGATGTTGTCTTCACAAGAGCCGCGTAGGATACAAATGTAATTACCACAACGTTCTTGGCGACGAATAAATCTACGGTAACAAATGAACCACCAAATACATCCGAGTTACGAAAGCCCGTATATCAGTTTGTTAGGCCGGCAACATTGCAGAAGCAACATTTACACGAGTATGTACCCCTGAAAATACTGAACGATTGGGACTTGTAATTAGAACGAAAACAGATATTGCATGGCGAAGATACATATATTAGGCTATACATACTTCTGCCACAGACCCAAAAACATTTAAAATGCAAAACTTTTATTTAGAACAAAGGCAGGAACCATGACGCTTTCAAGGCTTCGAATCAGCATCGGAAGCTTTTTTTGTGCCGGACACAATGTCATCAATTCTCAGAAGCAAAATTGCCGTCTAAATATCAAGTAAGGGTAAAGATATCATTACCTCGATAGCGGTTTTGAAGGCTTGAGATTTAACGGCCAAAGGATCCCAGACACCCAGTTCCTTCATATCCACAAGCTGACCTGTTTCACCATTAATGCCCATGGTCCAGTTCTTTGCGGGATCAATAGCATGATAAGCCCTAAGTTCTGTTATTTGTTTTAGAACATTAGCGCCACAATTTTGAGCCAAGGTTCTAGGAATAACTTCCAAGGCCTGAGCAACAGCAAGGTATGCAACCTTTTGTACACCAGAAACAGCAGATTTCGCTTTCTGACCCAGCTCTTGGGCCAAAGCCATCTCTAGCGCTCCACCACCAGGGACCAATCGTGGATCCATAAAGGCACTCCGTACAACTGACATTGCATCTTGCAAATTTCTCTCAATTTCGTTAAGAACGTCTTTGCTGGCACCACGGAGTAGAATAGTACAAGCTTTAGGGTCCTACGAACAGGTTAGTTTAAGAATAACACAAACTTTGCATCCAGTAATGTAAGTAAAGTACTCATCACCGATTAATTTCACTTCGAACAAACCAGCCCGAGTACCGATATCTTCCTCTTTAATTTCATCCGTACGGCTAACAATGGTAGCACCAGTGCAACGTCCAATTCGGAGGCAATCAGTTTTACGAAGTCTGCGGATAACTGAGATACCTGCTTTCACCAAGAAATGCTGGGCTAAATCGCTTACGCCCTTTTCCGTGATAACAACGTCGGGTTTGAAGCGGATAATGTCTTCACAAACCTTACTGACATACTCCTCTTCAATTTCAAGAGCACGACTAAGAACATGATTTAGGGGCACGCTACTTACGTAAAATCTTTTTCGCCAGAAATTTCCATAGCTGTTTGACTTTCGCCTTTTTTATACTCCAGGCTACAATCAAGTAATAAAATGCGTGGCTTTTCAATACGCCTCCTCATTTTGGGATGCAATATATCTTTGTTAAACATAACCCCATCCAAAACGCATGATTCCTCGATTGAGCCTCCAGGGATCTACGAAACGAAAACACATTGACGATGAAAGACTCGACGGGAAAGATGCCAAACACATTCCGACGACTTACCTTTTCGACTTTGGCATAACGCTTTGTATCGATTACCTTACGACCACCATCGACAACTGTAACAACTTTGACGGATTCTATGGCCAACTTGCACGCCAAATCGACCCTAAGACTCAGGCAATTGCAAAAATAACCTACCATTTGTTGATTAACTTAGTTCCCACACAGCTTTTGACGAGATTTACAATAGCCTCGTGGTTGTTCGCATCAATTGGAACGCTAAAACAGGTAATTTCAGACAATTTATAGCCCACCTAAACTTAGAATCGATCGCTGTAGTGATATCTTCTAAGGCCTGGCGAAAAGCCGCAATGATTTTTGTTGGGTGGATTTGTTTTTCCAAACAGGGAATCGCTGCAGAAAGCACCTCACCAGCTGAAAAGATTAGGAGAGAATTGAAAGTAACTACCGAGAACAATAACGGACGTCGTGCCATCACCAACTTCTTCGTCCTGAGTCCTGGCAATCTCGATCATAGATTTCGCAGCCGGATGTTCGACAGTGATCTTTAGGAGTAGGGAACTATATAAAAAGAAATCAAACCTCGCGGAGAATCGCATTGCCATCATTTGTCATAACTATTCCTCCCATTGGATCCAGCAGCATCTTTAACATGGCTCGAGGCCCCAAGCAAGTACGCACGACATCAGCCACTGTCTTCCCGGCATCAATATTGCCTAATTGAACATCTCTTCCGTGCTCACGCCTAGTATTTTGGTCTTAACATGCAAATATATGACATAGTAGAGCACTTACTGAGGACGACGATAGGAGCGGCCCGCATGGTTTTCTGATTCGCAAATATGTGCTACTCTCCACAGAACCAACAAGTCTCATTGGTCAAATTAGAGGCATGTGTAGTCTTGAGAACCCTAGTGATCAGACTATAATTTGTGATTGAAATGCACTGAATTGATTTTTCAAGCTTTAATGGGTTATTGCAAAACTAGTCACCTTTATGAAACAATGAATGGGAAAAGATCGAGGATTCATCAACATGAATAAAGGCAAAGGGCATATAGTATTGCTCAGAAAAATCGTTTACGATGGCGTGATTTTCTAGTAAGAATTCAGAAGTTTAAGATAATATGACAAAAGTTTCCTTAAGTCAGGTTAACACTCTTTTTATTGATAAAAATTACATCTTGCGTTCACATAATTTTAACGCAGGGTTAAGCTAGTCAAAATGGACTACCTCTCTCCCATCAATTCCATTTTCGTAATGTGCTGTCTAATTGTCGGATTGCCTAGATATGCGCTTATTTGTGACAGACAGTGTAAGATTGCATTGCATTGCTGCACTTCAACTTGAATCATCAACGAACGTTGAAAAGTGATTTTCTCATAAAATTAGGAATTTTTCCTTTTCCTAAGGAATAAGAGAATGGAATACCAATGCAAAGTGTGTAATGTAATATTCACATAGTGGTCTTGCTTGCCTTTTTATAATTACATAATATATTAATTTGATGTAATTTTATAGTCATCCAATAAGAATAATAAAAGAAATGTAGCAGTGACTTGGATTAAGTATGAAATAATGGTTTGTTGAATCGTATGAATATTGGGGATTTCAATATATACTGATTAAACTAATTACTCTAACATTGTAAAAAACATTGCCCATTTTATTACCTGCAGAATTAGTAAAGCGGTTGGTTATTTAAGATTTTGACTTTTTAATGTTTGCTTATAGTTTAGTCCCAATTTATGCTAAGACAAGGAATAACGCTTAAGGTTTTCGACCACCAGTTTTACGGTATTACAAATTTAATGGAATCAACTCCCAGGCACTGGCTTCAGCCTGGTTGTTTAAATTTCTGTCAACAGTAGCGTGCTAGAATTGATGCCATAGGGATTTTAAATTAAAAATCCTTCTAGACCGTGCCTTTTGCTTACCAAACCGCCAAAAGCCAATACATTTTTCTACTTTAATGTAAAAAACGCGTGAAAATATTACCTATGTAATGAGTGTTCGCAAAACTTGTGATTTTGTAGAATACTTCGGTCAATTCTTTTTGAACGTAAATAAATTTGATGCAAAATTCCATAAATTTGTCCTGCAGTTAAAGAGGTTTCTTCGATAACCAATGCCGTTTCTGATATTTTTGTTAGGGACTGGCATTTTGCGCGGTGGGAAAAAGGAATAAAGCTCTATCAAAATTCGATAACGTGAGTGTAACTGTTAAAGCCACATAGTGCATGCCTAATTGTTAAATACACCTTGAGTTAGATCAATATCCCATCACGGAAATTCTGATTGAAAGCTAACCAGTTATTTGGTGTCATTTATTGGATGCGTTGTCGTTAGTACGTGCTTAACATTTGGCTTATTCTTGTAAATTATTGATGGGCAAGTGAAGAAATTTACAAGCAGATGCGTGCTTCGATGTATCCGTAAAACAAGTGAGATCGCGAGAAAAAAGGAAAAAATCTTTAAAAACTGACAGCGTTAGTAAAGTTAGTAAAGGGTATTCATTAGGTTCTATTACAACCGCAATGTTCCCTCATTGTTGTCCTTTGGTCACTGAAAAAAATGCAAGTAGAACTCCACTTTTGGTGGCCCGATTTGATGTTTTGTCCAAAATTAATACACTTGTTCTTCTGATTGGATAACACTATATCAGCCATTTTGCCTTCATACGGTTCCATCGCTCGAGAATACTTCATAGTGATTGGGACGCATTTTCTATAAAAGCCACATTGCTAATCAGTGTTTTTTCCCTTTCAAAACCCCTGTAAGATTTCGAATGCCGTTAATCTCACAATAACAACCAACTCGAATGGCACACCTTTTTCCTGCATTAAACTAGTTGACTCGCTATTCTGTTGGCATCTTAGACAGATGCGCCTCTTGTTAAAGTATTATTACGTACGCTACTTAGTTCTACACTATTAATTGGCTAAAGGTCTACTTACGAATACGAATGTGATCATCGCATTTAAAGCCCTGTTATTTTGCTTAAAAAGCTCACTAAGACGAACGATTAAATTGGTAAGTGTCATTGTAAGGGAATCAGAAATGAAAACATCTCTGTCATAGCAGTACCCAGGAACAACCCAGACGTAAATAATTTTCAAGGACAACTAGATAACACTTCATTATATAAGAATAATTTTTTTCTGCCAGATGGCCATAAAGAGGGATTTTCCGCCATTTTACGTTTCCGACAACAAAGTCGACCCGACCTATGTTGATACCATAATCGCCAAGTCGGTAGGACACGAGAGTGTAAATAACTACACAGTCACCTTTAGGTCCCCAAGCATTTTGAATGCACATTAAGGAGTCATAAAATCTCTCAGTAACGGTGATAATCTGTTTGGGCACTTAATCAGATTGATCCTTTATGTCACTGATAAATGCGCCAGAATAAATTTTATTTCATAATGGTATAAAGTTATGCTTAATTCCCTTTGGACCTGACAAAGATCTCCTTCAAGCCGTTATTCTTTAACCTTTATCCTTAAATAACTTACGCATTGTGACGTATGGTCGCAAGTTGCTGATCTTAGATTTGTGGATGAGATGACAGTTATCGTTAGTTTAAATGTAGCCAATGTTCAGCTACTAATATTCGGTGTCTGATATTTCTTCTTAATTTAGTCTTTTAGTTGACGTTGCATAGCACAAGTTTATTGCCACATGCACTGTCCCATTTGCGTACAAAGTATCAAAATATAGTAGCTATCAGATTGACATTGCCAGATTCTAACACACACGACTAGTTTCTGAAAGATTTACCTGTTATCAGACCTACCAATTAAGTCATCAACCTTTCGCGATGTAAAAATCGTGCTAGGCTGCTATTAAAATAGGATATACACCTGACGAAATTTTGAAGAGCCAAAGTAGGTCGTAAAAAATGCGTGTCATCCTGGCATAATTCATCATTCCAGCAGCCATTAAGCTGTCGTATTGCAAATGGTACCTACGTATATGAGGCGACCACAGACTATGCTAAAGCCTTTTTAATATTAGACCTTGTTCGGGCTAATCATCAGAAACAATATTAAAGTTATTTAAGTCCTTTGATATGTCTTTTGGTTAATGTTAAGCGGACCAGATTTTTAGAGACTCATGAATCAAGTTTTACGGGGTCTTGTCAAAGTCTCTGATTATTTGTCTATAGCAACAACGATTACGACGAGCATTTGCCGACTATACGACAATTTCTGCACTTTTAAAAGCCAAGAAGCATTACAATAAGGTTCAAAAAACATCTTTTAGGGGTCAGAAGATTGCAGACTGCATTGGGCTATTAGCAGAGAATCGAGAACATTTAAATCACATTTTTAAAAAAATCGAAATAGGGCTTGGGCTGATAGCAAAACATGAATTTTAATATTTACTCCACCGCTACGATGTTTTTTAATAATTAGCATTTTTTTGCAAGTACTGAAAAAAGAATAAATAACCCTGAACAGTAGAAAACATATTTGACTGGCCAAATAGACTATTATTATATGCTTTCGAAAGTTATCTAAGATAAATTTGACGGAATGTGAAACGATCAGGACCGTTTTTTCAATTGTGTCAGCCTAGGAAAAAAATTGCAAGATATTGTGCCAAACACTTAAACATATGGTCCTGGGCCAACTATTAGAGTGTTGACCTTTTAAAAACGGGGGGAATGCAGAAAATGAACCCACAAGCGTCTCTTCCATGACGTGCAAAATCAAAACATCAGTGGCGCAGCTGTGGCGATAAGGTATGTGCCTCGTAAATGCTAATACAATCATCCAGAGACATTCAGTCGATTAAACATAACTGCAAAATTGCGAGATAGCGGCCATTAACTGCAGCAATTGGCCTATTTGCTTACTTTAGTTACCTCCTTTACAAGTTAACTGAGTTAGCGGCTTACAATTTTTGACTGACACTGATGTCGAGGATAGTGCCGTTTCTTTAGGACCTAAAATTTGCCACCTCAAAACCTTTTGTTTACAAATTCAAGTCGTAAATAACTAACAAATTATCACGCATGATCTCAAGTCAAAAGAAGCGATTCAAGAGTATTATATTCAAGAAGCATTCGACAGTTTAATTCGATTTCATGGTTTACTTGAGCAATGCGCACATTTCCTAAACCCTAGGGCCGCAATTTCGTCTATATTGACCTACCAAATCAGAAAAAATTGAAAGAAGAAGCAGCAGCCGTTTTTAAAGTTAAAAAGAATGCTATGGCAAATGTAACGAAAAAATGCTACTGGAAGAAGGAGGTCACACTAAACTGACGTATGGTTCTGCTTGTGATTAGTCAATAAAGCCTGTTCTGTTGTACCATTTTTCTTCATACTTGGGCTCGGGTATTCTACCTTGGTGGCAACGGATGCGTTTGAATAAAGCGAATCGTACCCCCGCCCTTTCCCTATAATAGTCAACAGAGGCAAAGACCCTTGAATGCCAGCTCAAGTTGTCATGGCGGTCATCCGATGTCCCAAATACTGGATCCATATGCACTGCTCGGGATTAGGACTACTGCATCTGAAGAGGCATTGACAACTCAGCGACGACGACTTGGACAGTAGAAGCCAGCTAGACTGCAACTGTGAAGGGACCTAAGATGAATGAAGAGTCCTTCCTGCAAGTCTACGAGAGCAAAGTCCCTCGTCAACTATTCGCGTGGACCACTGTCCTGCCAGATGTGGGGTGTCGGAGAGTTTCGAAATGGATATTTTAACAATCACGAACAGTGGGGTGAACCAAGCCAGGAGCTGAGGACAGCTTCACTCCTGAGGGTAGACAGTATTGCTTTGGATTAGGGCGTAGACATATTGGACCACCTGGCTTCAGCCAATCCTGTGTCTCTCTGCGTTCCAATGGCATGCGAGGAAGATAGGTAGCCAACCAGAGAAAGACACGAATGAGGAGCAACGTATAATGATCGGCGTGGCCAACGTGGAGGACTCGGATAGAAGGCGCCTGACGTGTAGTTCTGGCTTCTGATTGGTCGATAAAGCCTGTTCTGTTGCATCGGTCTAAATTATACCTGGGCTTAGGTATTCTACACACCGTGCTGGCCACACCGCTCATTATATGGCGCACCTCATTCGTGTCCTCTGGTTGGCCGCTTACCTTCCACGCATGTCATCGGAACGCAGAGAGATAGGATTGGCTGAGGACAGGTGGTCTAATATGTCTGCGCGCTAATCCGTCGCTCATGTAGGATACCCGAGCCCTAATAGGAAAAAGACTGGTACAACAGAACAGGCTTTATTGACCAATCACAAGCCAGAGCCACGCGTCAGGCGCCTTCCATCCGAGTCCACGACGCTGGCCACGCCGCTCATTATATACTGCACCTCAGTCGTGTCCTTCTCTGGTTGGCTGCCTTCCTTTCCCGCATTGCCATTGAATCGCAGAGGGACACAGGATTGGCTGAGGCCAGGTGGTCCAATATGTCTGCGCCTTGATCCGACGCCACACTCACTACACCGCTACATTATTGCTTGCTCTAGGTGTTTTTTTGCCATTGGGTGAGTTACTATGCATTAATTTTTATTACGGTCCTGGGATTTAAGCGGTTAGATTGATTTTAAGCATTATTGTTTATTAAAACGTAACCAGTGCAACATTAGGATTATTAGGCCATATATTATATCGATAAAACCGCCTGGTTAATCTATTTTCGATGTATTAATGTCTTTAGTAAAAAATCATCTCTTTATGAATTCTTATCTCACTAGATATTTAAACTTATCGTGCTTATGGAAGTCATATGATCCGTTTCAATTTTGTGTAATTCTCTTTATCAGTCTATTTCAGTCTCGGTTGTCAGGAATAACCCAGACTGGGGTAATCAGAAATATCCTTTAATAAATTTCAATTTTGCAGAGCACAGTTTTTTTGCTAGGTTCACAGGCAGTCGTCACTTTATGTACCCTTTTGGTGCACTAGTTTGTGGTAAGACGAAGGTTCGTTAGCGGGATTGATACTTGATGACTGCATATCTCCCATTATTATTACCTTTAGCCGATGATACCTGAATCTTCATAAGTTAGTGGTTTTGGAATCTTGAACCCAACTAGAATCATCACACCGAATTTGCGTCGTTAGTGCCAATTGTTTTACTTATATTGAACTAGTATTACTAAATTTGTGTTTTTGTCTTGCAATTTCACGTCCTTTTATGTTGGCCATAATATGAAGGTATCTGATTCCCTCGTTTGGCGTTGGACCTTTACGTCGCTCTTTGAAAAGGAGTTGTGGCTTACAAATTTATGTCACTGGTTTGCTATGATTGATCGTTGAGTACTCATGACGTTATTGCCTCGTTTGAAGTTTTTAGATGTAACAGAATGTGTACCAATATAATCACTGAGAGTATGCTCAGCTTTAAGCAGTTTTGATTAATCTCTTTTTCTGAGATTTGATGTCTTATGAATTATAAAATTGGTATTTAATCGCCTTAAATTACTAATACTGACGATCAAAATGCCGATTTTTTTACTTGGACTGAATGATTTGGTATGGCTAACTGCCCACCTGCCTTGACATCTTCCAACTCTTATAGTTGTTGTCAACCATTTCGATCCAAAGATAAGTTTTTAAAGTAGTCAACTACATGTGGTTGTCATTCGGTTCGAGTCCGAAGCCTGCGAACAAACGCCAAGCACAGGACTTGAAATGCAAAATTTAAGCTTAAACATCAATTGAGATTTTCGGAGAGTGATGTTCCGTTGCTGGTAATCTAGTTATTTGAGTCTTGATTGAGGAAGCGGTTGATGAAAATATACCGTGCATGGTGTAAGTGTATTTTGACAATATTTTAATTTATTTAACCCATATGACAGCGTTTTAAGGTTTAGTGATGCTAACACGAGTAGTTGTCAACATCGGGCGTTGATTTTCAGGGTATAATGTAACCAATGTTCAGCCGTCCACAACTGTCACAGCACACATGCACGAGCTCTACCTTGGCGCCGAAGAGAAAGCAATTGGCGGATGGCGGGCCGAACCATTTGTTCGCCAACAAGATTAGGTTGCATCTCGTCACATCAGTCTTGTCGTCAGCATACTTGCAAGTCTGTTTTGAGGAGTGTGGGCACAGTATTATCTGTAGTTCTGAACTTAAATAAACGGCATTACAAGGGACGAATTAAATGGGAGATTGTCTTCGGTAATCCCATTTATTGTCTCGAGGCATTGACAGCCGTTAAAACTCTCGACGCTTACTGTGGGTCAGTTTTTATGTTACCAGAGAGGTGTACCGTCTAAGGGCCTCCCTTTAATCCGAATCCCTAGTTGTTGCTGCCATCAGCTTACTGGTGTTGAAATGCTGGAACGTCCGAAAATCCAGCTCTAAAACGCTCTCTCTTGGGGCATCTCTGTCACTCGTACATACATTTAGGAGCGAAGTCATCTCATGTGGTATTGGACATTGAGGGTATGGATAGGGAACCGAGAAATCGTTTTCGTAGATTTGCCCAGAAGGGATCGTACATTATCATAAACAAATAGTAAGAAGCAAATGTGAGGATTTGCATCTCCAACACTTTCCTACGCCGTGATTCAATTTGTTTGTTTTGGGAAATCCTAAAAGTCATTCTGGTGATGGTTCGTTTAATTGGTGTTCAATACGTTTTCTGTTAATCAAGAGTCATTACTTTAATTAAATCATTCGTTGTTTCATCTTTTTTTGACATTTTAGGTGGTAAATTATGGCCACTGACACTGGCATATTCCCTGCTGCTAACGAGAATGGAGAATCATTTACTGAAACCACGAATTCAAGGGCCAGTGTCCACCTGACAGTCATCCACAACAGAAAGCGTTATCCCCTCGAACTTAGCCCTGATCTAACAGTCCGTGATCTAAAGCTGCAACTTGAAGCTCTTACCAATGTGCCGGCTGACATGCAAAAACTGATATTTCAGGGCATACTACAGGACGAAACCACACTGTCCGAACTTAAATTGCCCTCCAGTGGTGTCAAAATCATGCTTATCGGCAGTGAAAGGTCTGCGACAGACAAGGTGTGTTGTTTTACTTAGGAGGCTTCATGACCACGTGCGCTTTTGGGTCACTAGACATTTTAACCCCCAGATTTCTGTTCATAATTATCGGTCCCTCTAATGCTTAGTGCTATTTTATCTGCCAGTCGTCTGCTCGATTTTATCGACAAAAAGGCTTAGCTACCTTTTGACAAAATACCCAGCACTTATTCAACCTGACGCCCCATATTTTAGCCTCAATTCGTTTTTTAGGCCATATGGAACCCATCGTTAATGATTAAAATGCTTTTTGGCATTGGTTCATCATTTTCTTGGAGGGACGGTCCACCGCCTCCGCAGAGTATCTCTTTAGCTAGACTGTGCGTCACTTTAGTCGATTCTTTTTAGGCATAAGGTCTTATCGAAATTCGTATCCTTAATATGAAGACTCCAGTCTGAATACTTCCGAAGGGTAATCTAAAAGGAAAGTATGTGGCCTGTCAGTTCTTTTCTTCATATTTTCAGATTCGTAATCAGGTTGCAGTAAGCGCAACGCCCGAGAAGACAGAGGATGACACTTCTGCTGCTGAAAACTGGTCAACCACAGCAGAACACAGGCGCGTTTTAACGAGCTACGGTAAACCAGAAGATGCCATCGTTGGTTTCAGTGTTTCTGAGGTGCTTCCAGACGATCAGACACTCGTGGGCCTTCATGACAAACGTGGTCGGGCATTGCGCCTTCGATTTAAGGCGGAGACCCATGAGCTTTGGCTCGCGACTACTTCAGCCACTCACAAGATTCCCCTATCGACCATTCAAGCGGTCGACCACCAGCCCATCGTTGATGATCCCGGTTATCACATTATGGCCTTCCAACTCGGTCCGACCATAAAGTCACGCTTTTTCGTTTATTGGGTACCTGCACAGTACGTGGAGTCTATCAAAACAAAAGCTCTGCAACACAAGTGCCAGCAACGAAAACCACCTTAATGCCTTTACACAGGTCGCGTGTACACTCACTCGAATCACCAAATCATCCGATACACATGTTCGGTCGTATGTATGTTCACAAACCTCCACTCTTCGCGTGGCTTATTGGTTTTTGATTATACGGTAAAATAGATTTATCTTTTTATCTTGATTTTTTTTATTTTCTGGTAGCAGATACCCCCCCCCCCCTTATCTTTCTGTATGTATAGATGGCTCCCCTTAAACTGTGGGTTAGATACTGATGTTATCTGAAAAGACTAACGTGGGCTTCCGGACCAGGTTAAGACTGGACACTCGGATATGCCGTTGTGGCACAAAAAGACCCACGAAACTCAGTCGGTAAAGAAGAAGCAGGGGACGGCGAGGACACGCCTATTTACTCAGACACTATGCAAAAGTGTAGTTTTTGCATGCTTGAAGTATAAGCACCGTGCGCTCACCAGTTCACAAACAAGCTCAATACGATTCGAGACATGAGAATTAACGAAGGTCGGATAGTCGGTTCATTGAGTACAAGTCATGCAAAAACAACGATCGCCAATAACCTGGAGCCCCGATGCCACCCTTCGGCGATGGTTCTCGCCTGTGCACTGCTACAGTATGCTTTTCGTTTACGTGGCCACCTAGACTCAAGGCCTGTAATTTGTGCTGCTGACTACGGAACCCAAACTACTTGTCACGGCTTCGACAGACAAGTGTATTAACATTTGGTGGCACATCAAAAAGCAAATCATACGAGCGATCAACGCTGTTATCGCTAGCCGCAGTTTGCTTGTGCAATCTGTAGATATTACCAACTTCACCTAGGTAACGGTCCGAGTCTTGAGTATTAGAAGGCGATAATTGTTGCAGAAGCGAATGTTGCACCTGCTATAAAACTAACGGATCAACTGAAACACGCCATTCAACTGGGTAAACGAAAGCCTGTTTCGTTGAATTACCCCCTCCTGGTCCGCATGGCTCGAGTACCGAGTGCTCGCCCAAGAGTTCAATCCTAACTTGAGTCCACCCGTAGAACTACCACCTCAGATCATAAAACAACTAATTTTAAGCAAAATGCTAAATGACTTGAACATTTGACAGTGAAACCTAGTCACTTGGTTGAATACTACAGAGATGGCTGAACAAACCATGTAGGAATGTTCGACCAAATACGGTCCCCGGATTAAAATCCATTGCTCAAAAGAGCGCTTGCAATTTGATTAGGCTTACTTAACCACTGAATTGTGAGCCCTAATCCACACACACACACATATACTCACATAAAAAAATCGCTTGAGGTGAAAAGTTAGTTTCGTTCCACAAACCCCTTTCAGCCATCAATACAATTACAATCAGTAACCGACATGTACAAACCGGGCGGCCTTTGGTCGAGGAAACAAATGTGCACAGATTCGTTGATATGAAAAAGCCTCGAGTTCCTCGGCGATGGTCCTACCACCAACCATGGCTTAATGATATCAAGAAACACCTACTCGTTGGGAAAAAAGCACCTGGCACCTCTGTCGAGACCTGACCCTTGGTCTCAAAGAAACGAAGCAAGTCCACCCTTGAAGAGGGCGACAATTTGCACTGAGCTCCCTGCCACAGTTCAATGCACCTCAATGCAAAGGTGCTGAAAATAGACATAGAACAGTTCGGACTACCATGACTTTGATTTAATTTGATATAAAAGTCACACTTGTCACGGGGGAGGCAATTTGAGATCTTTGTGCATGGCGACTCGGAGATCGTCTGGTGCCAGGTTCGCAGGGACTTTGCCATCCTACAACACGAATAACGCCAATGAGTGCGTTGATTAAAGAAAACTTAAAAAAATTAAGGTGAAATGTGTAAGATATTGCGTTCCACATGTAATACATCTGTAGAGTCTTCGCGCAAACTAGGAAGTTTTTAAATGGTTTTAAAACCGTGCAAAGCTCACCTTATCTTTTATGGTTAAATCACCTCCAGCAGCGAGAAGGATTCGGACGATTCCCGCGTATCCCTCTTCACAAGCATTGTGTCTACAAGAGCCACGTAATTCAAGCAGGCTAATCAAATCAAAATGTACAAAAAGTAGCCGGATTCAAGCTGATTTGGAAAGCCGCGTTGCCTTTTCACCAGAAGCCGGCCTGCCTAGCAGACAGATGACTAGGGAAACACGTGTACGCCAACATTACACGTAAGAGGTGACGAGAGTGAACTTACAGAACTCACTCAAAACTGTCTACAAGAGCTTGCATTCATGGAATTAGCTAACTGAGTTGGAAGACTAGTGGTATGAATAGAAGAAGATACGAGAATTTGAAAATCGTGGTCAAACTTACACCTGAAAGTCAAATTCAAGCAAATGTGGCTTTGAGTGGTTATTACTCAGAAGCCGCTCATTCCTAGCTTCATACAAAAAGTATTGCAGGGCACAATGATTATTCCCATTGCAACAAATATGGGAAGCAAGGTAAATCTTACAGCGGAGTTTGTCCTGCACTATTAGACGTGTTGGGTGAGCACTTGCTGATTTTCAGACCCTCAGGCGCACCCACAAGGGACTCGCCTGCTAACAACAGTTTGACCATATCCGTGTGACCTTGACATGCGGCCCGATGGAGTGGTGTGTTGCCACCCCAGTCACGCGAATCCGCCTGTATACCAGCCAGAAGGAGACGTTTTGCTATCTGAAAACAGGGAAAGACCAAGTCAACTAACGGAAACCTGGACTAACGCAAACCTAATAGGTTTGAAGCGCAGAATGCGGCTCCTTTCAATACAAAGTGAGAATCAGAGAAGGCGCGGAACGCACCCATGGAAGTGCAAAAGTAGATGCTCACATGTCGCGGATCAATAATGGGGTCTGTTTTTATAATTAATGACGAGAAGGTAACTTACTGAAAGGCGGTTCTTAGAGGCAGCATAATGTAGGCAGTTCTGACCAGTTGAATTAACTACTTGGACATTGACGGGAAGACCCGCGTCAAGGAGGTAGGCGACCACGTCCTCACGACCCGCGGACACAGCGATCATCAGTGGAGTCCAGCCTGACTAAATAGTCACAAACAACTCCTTTAGGCGGCAAAAATATGAGAGTAAAATGGTTCGTGCAAACAGCTTCACTAGAAGGGATGCACTGTGAGTGCGGCATAATGACATAAGGAAAAGTGGAGGCATTATACAAAACATACTTCGTCCGGTTCGTCAGGTTGGCATCCTTTTTGAATTAGAATTTTTACCAATTCTAAATGTCCTCCGCAGGCACTCCAGTGAAGGATCGTTCTTCCGGACTAAAAAAGTACAAAACACATAAAGGATAGAAGTCTCGTATCAACGCTCTGACTAACAACAATGTGCGGATTAAACTTGTCCCAAAATAAACTGTGGTTGATGACCCAAGATTTCCGAAGGCAAAATGTCAGTGTCTATTAGAAAAATAGTACTACAAGCTTAGAACCCAAGTACAAGAAACGCGACGGTACAAACCCACGACAAGATACAGGACTAAACTTGAGCACTGTTGACATGTCCTGTCATTGCAGGTACCAAATAAGTTGTAGAAGCACTTTCCTTTGTGGGGTATTAAAAGTGCACGTCAGGTAAATAAGTAAAGAGTTGTCGCTGATTCACAATCGCTGACTCCCAAGCACAGCCCACTGTCAGTCGTCGTTTACAAGTCCACTCGATGATAGCTTACTTTGTGCTGCGAAATAAGCCATCACGGTTTACAATTGATTTACGTTTTGTTTTATTTCAGGACATTGAAATCACATATTCTGCATCGCCTCCATATCTGGCAAAGTCAAATTCTTATCTTTCCAAATCACCATCCACTGAACAGCACCAAGGTACGTTCAATGCTGACGTAGAATTAGAACTATAGTTGAACGAATTTTGAATAAGAATCTTGAGATTTTTATGGTACATATCAAAAAACTTGTTTAACTGTTGGAAAGAAGGGGTAAAAATAACGGAGATAACCTGATTTGGTAAATAATAATGGCATTTGTTAAAAAAGTTTAACATGTAATAAATATAGTAAAATCACAATGACATTCCCCAAGCGAATACATTCAATTGGTACTTTCACACATGCACAAACGTAACATGACAATCCAATCCATTAAGAATAAGCGGTCGCATTTGCTTTATTCCCGTTTTTACCATTAGCACAGTGTTACGCACACAGCCTCACTTGCGAAGCCCAAGCATCGGTAGTTATTTAACTAAATGTTGAATTATTTGGCGCACTGGTAAGTAATTACAGCTTTTAAATTTGAAATTTATACAAGAATTTGGGTTAATCGAGTAGGTCGCACCTCAAGCCTTGATTAGGCACCAAATAAACTAATAATTATAGCAAAAATAGAGGTCCTCTATACATCGATAGGTAAACACACCAAGAAAATTAAAAGCAGAAACATACACTGTCTTTCAAGCTGATTAAGCTTGGGTCAGCAGTCACGTTGTTTACTACCTCCGTCACCTTGCCTTCACGCGCCAAGTTGCAAACTGCAATGTCAGACATAATGTGCTAAAACATGAAGAAGATTTATAAAAGGGACAACGCAGCAACCAAAACGACACAACATGCAGAAACTCATACAACGATACGCTGCTCTATTTTCTAACCACGTCAAATTTACCTTTCTTGATTAAATATGCAAAATTCCAGGCTAGCCGAAACACATGAATGAATTTACAAATTTTACCTGATCTGGAACAAAACTTAGAGGGTAATTGCCTTTCTTATCAACCACGTATTTCACTTTAGCTAGATCAACAAAACGACGTATAAATTATGGCGACGTGAGAATGAAGCAAAACCGCGTTTCATCAATCTTGACCCATTCCATGAATGGTCAAAACATTTAAAGCAGCAAATCAACGATCGGCCATATAAACGAAAGCAGAAGCCACACGGGTCGTGGATTCATAGAATCACAGGTTTGATTGGTCAGTGATCTGAATTTACACACCCCTTGGGGTCCACTTCAATGAATAAATCGCACGTAGTGGACCAGGTTCCGTGAAAACACACACATGCATCAACAAATCTAAGGCTATCATTACTGAATAGTCCTTTAAAAGATTTTGGATAGCAAATAATTCGCAAACAGACGTGCAACTGAGGGCATTGTAAACAGAATAAAACTAATCGAAATAAGGCTTAGGTTAACGGCCATAAATGACGAGTAAAAGCAGCTGTGACGGCATTAATGTGTTCTTCGACTACCACAATTGTGGCATGAGAGCATTGGCACTTTGGACCACTGAAGTGTGACTGGTGGCATGAAAATATCCAAAAAGCGAACTTCAATGGGATAGGTCCCCATAGTATCCCAATCGAATAAAAGCCTGATCACGCCAACACGGAGTAACTCCAGGATACCAGCAAATATAGGGTCTAGCCATGAAAAAAAAACAAGACTAACCCATTGATATGAGGATTTTTGAGTGTTGGGAGCACTGGTCATCAGATGGAGGGCAAACAAAGGGCTTATGAGAAGATTCCCCTTCTGAACATGTGACGAGGAGCAAAATTTAGGCTAAATTCTATGCAGAAAGATACTGCATCCTAACGCTTGCTGCGTTACGTACACTATGCTAGTCGAACACAGGAAAGTGGTTATCGGCTCCCCAATATAGGAATGACTAACTTTTTCCAAGGATTTATAGATATTATTTGCCAGCATAAGAATCAAACCGGGGCTAGAATACTGCTACATTTGGGACTGAAGCCTGAAACATGACTAAACGGACGCTGCTGGGTTCTACCTACTGGTTAGCATTAACCTAGACTAGAGATTGTCACCAAAGCTACGAAACAATGGCTTGCGGAAAACTGCAACAAAGTTATAGCTCAACATTAAATTGAAGTTTACGGATATCCGTCACTGCAACTAAATCAAAATATTTAGTTTGTGAGTTTTGAAAGGGCATTTGTGACGACTGGTGTAGTTTAGGATGTGTGGTAAGCCTCACCACACGCGAGCATACTCGGACACAGGCCAACACCTTCCCATGCTAGTGGAGAAGAGCCAAACTGAAGCATTTTGAATTTACAAAAAGGTGAATACGTCAAAACGTAAAAAGGGCGCCTCACTCCAATTTTTTACTATGCATTGTGGTGTAGTGTGGTGTGGCGTCGGATTAGGGCGCAGACATGTTGGACCACCTGGCCCCAGCCAATCCTGTGTCTCTCTGTGTTCCAATGGCA